CTGTACGCCGGCTCCCTCAGCCAATAAAGCGAGATGAGCGCTGCAACCCCAGAGTCGGCCACAACTGGACCTAATGGTCAGGGGTCCCTTTACCTTTACCTACAGTGCAGCCATGCAAAAATGAAACACATCACACATCTCCACCCTGCATCCCGACAAGCAAGAGGCATTATCAGAGTCCAAGGACAGACTCCAGCCAAGCAAAAACACCCAAGGGTGTGGAACAGGACTGCCAAGAGGCCTGGTCTGTGGAGAGGAACAGGCCTAGGGAGACTCCCAAGGGCACCCCTGCTCTATAATTCTGATTTCCTGTAATCTCTGCTATGAATCTTCCATCCAGTGCCACGTTATTCTTGCCTATAGTGACATTCAGAAAGCTTTCCAAAGGTTTGACAGAGCCTCTGTTGTCTTGAAGCAATGCGCTGGCATCCTTTTGTACTCAGAACGCTGTTGGCTTTCACTATCTGTAAACTTTGTGTGAATCATTCTGCAAGGCGTAACCATTAGTTAAAGCAATTTCACTTGAAATTGTTCCAAAAGAAAAAGACGTTTCTCTGTGCCCCCTAGCTGATGTTTAGGCGTGAGTCAGAGAAGGGCTTCGTGATTACTTTTAGTCATGGTCTCATGTATCGGTAAATAAAACTGCCTGCCTCGCTGATTCCAATCAGGGATCATTGTGTAGTTGTTGCGCCACACCAGATAATTTGTCCATCGCGTGTGGAATGGCAATTCTGGACAAGTTTGATTTGGAATAATAAAAAGACTAGACTTTTTAAAAGACTGTGCTTTACATATCCAGTAGTAAAGATGGATAGCAATGCCTCACACAACCCACCTGAAGGGAGCCACCTCAGTCTGTCATCTCAAAGATAATAAGGGTGAAACAAGGTTAGCTCCCCTAGTTCCCCAGCTTTGGTGCCATCACAGAGAGGGCCTTGTTGCACATTGCTTGGCTGCCCGCTTTTATATACACTCTATACAGCTGACTGTGCCCCCAAATACCCCAGTAATAAGATCATTAAGTTTGCAGATGATACAACGGTGGTTGGTTTAATCACGACTGGAGAGGGGGAGGCGGCCTATAGGAAGGAAGTTGAGCAGTTGGGGGAGTGGTGCAGCAAAAACAACTTACTCTTACAGGGTTGTAAAGACTGCAGAGAGAATAACTGGGTGCACTCTTCCCACCTTAGATCAAATCTATGCTGCCAGGTGCCATAAGAAAGCGGCAGAGATAGCGCAGGGTAGTACGCACCCTGGAAATGATCTCTTTCAGCTTCTGCCTTCTGGAAGAAGGTATAGGGTTATAAAGGCCAGGACTAGCCGCCTGAGAAACAGTTTCTACGCAAATGCAATTCTGGTTCTAAACGCAGCATAAGGGGTCTCTATAGTACAGTGTATTTTTTAGTATAGTGTATTCTATAGTATAGTATAGTATAGTATAGTATAGTATAGTATAGTATAGTATAGTATAGTATAGTGTATTTTAAAATGGGGTTTCAGAGTTTTTAGGGTTTTTTGAATGTTTTATGTAGTTTTTCAATTTCATTGTTCTGTATGGGACAATGACAATAAAGATATTGTATATTGTATATCGTATATCATTCATGCAATAAAACCGCTAACACCTTTGCAAAGCTAAGCAGGGTCCAGTACGGTTTCAAATTGGATGGGTGACCATGTGTTGAGATTCCTGCATTGCAGAGGATTGGACTGGGTGTCCCTTGGCTTCCCTTCCAACTCTACAATTCTATGACTCTAGAAAATCTAATTGCAATGAAAGCTGCCCTGTATCTTCAGGAGAGTCCAAGGATGCTGTGTGGTAATACCAGGCATGAGTGTTACCCATTTTCCCAAACAACATACGGCTGCAGGAGTGATGGCTCTGTTCTCAGTCAAGCTCACAACCCACAGCACCTCCTTGGTTTTATCTGGATTAAGTTTCTGTTGCTCAGTCTGGCATAACTGTCTAGCTCTGGGAAACCTTTCATCTGCAAAAGATTTGCACTGTGGTTTTGATCCATATGCCTCTCTGCTGTATTTTTAGATTTCTTCCAAAAATAATGTCGACCTCTCTTCCCCGCCTTCCCCTCAGAAAAGTCGCTGTTAGAAAACTTGCAAGCCTGGCCTTATTCTTGACTGGCCATGACAAGGTGCTGAAAGAGAGTACAGCCAAGTGTGGCATAACATCACGATCCTTTTGCAAGAGGCAAGCGCTTAAGGAAATATTGTTCAGCAGATGACACAGACTGAAATGCCAGCTTGCTGCCAAGAGCAAAAGGTTAAGAATAATGCTAATAAATTTAAAAGTCAGCTTTCAGAAAGCCACTTTTCATGATTCAGATTTAAAACATGCATCGTGTTGCACACACACACACACACATATATATATGAGAGATCCACGTGCACTGTCAATATTTTTGGGGCACTTTAGAATAATTGAATGGGCCATGATTTCAACTGAGCATCTCTTGCAAATTAATGTTAGATTTATGTTTGCCTTTTCCCCTGCAAGGCAATTTATGGTAATCAAATTTGACAACAGAAGCATAATAAAAAATAACTCAGTTGCTTCTTGGGCATGATTGTCCATGTCTTTGCCTTTGCCAAGCCTAAGTGAATGAAATTAATTCAGGAGCGTGATCTATAGCAGGCGAGGAAAAGATGGCACCTTCCCCTTTCCCAATTATGTTTATTTATCACAATCCTTTATATCCCGCCTTTTGAGGCAGAAATTCTGGCAAAGCCGCTTATAAGTTACACCGAAATTCATTTTAAGAATCACAACAAGTGATTGCAATATATGAAATATTCTCAAGATTGTCCTGGCAGGGCAACTGATAGGGAGGGCAATGGGGAGAGGGCGCGATCTAGCTGGAAGAAACTCTCAGATCTGCCTTCCCTGTGTCCTTTGCAATAGGAATGCCATTGTATGGGCATGGAAGTGGTCACTGAATACCCTTGCAAAATGTGAATGACTAGCTGTGGGTGCACTATACTTCTGAAGCACATTATTTCCCCCCAAGAATCCTCACAGAGCTTCAATTCCCAGCACCCTTAATAAACTACAGTTCCCAGGATTCTTTTTTTAAATGTATGGTGTGTTTGCAGCCTGATATCAGTTCAGATGGAGCACAGTCTCCAACTTCCAAAGATTGTGTGACAGGGACTTTTTAGTAGTGACTCCCCATATGTGGCACTCACTGTTCCATGACACTATGCACCTTTCATTATGTATTTATCTGAATACTGTACATTTAAAGGGTGAGGGAATCCCATGCTTTAGCTGAAAAGGCTCCCAGAGCAGCACTATGATAATCCCTGTCCTCAGGCATGTACAATCTAAAAGACATGACCAAGAAAGTGTGGGGGGAGGGGAGAAGTTGTGGCCCCAGTGAAAGTGACAGTTCTTATAACAACCAGCTGGGAGGGGGTCAGTTCAGGTAGCCTGATGGAATGGTAGCTGCACAGTGATGCCTGGATAGCTCAATTGGTTACAGTGTGGTGCTCATAATGCCAAGCTTGCAGGTCCGATCCCCGTATAGGACAGCTGCATCTTCCTGCATTTCAAGATGATGCTCAGGATCCCTTCCAACTCTGTGGTTCTATGACTGGGGAACATCTTCTCTCCCTCTGCTTTGCAGCCTGATGTTTGGTGACATTTGAGAAGGAGCAAAAGCAGCAGCTGGTCTCCTAGCAGAGATGTTTGAATAACTCTTGCTTGCCTTCTTTGCTACTGCTCCAACATTCTTAGAAAACTTTTCTCTGAAGCTTAAGAATGGTAAAAATAGGAGTGTGTAGGTGTGGCAGTAGCCACGCTGGTCCTTTGACTGTTTCTGTGTCCCTCGTGACCCTTTCTGGGAAGGTGGCTGCAGCAAGAAATAGGTTTAACTGCCATGAGTAAGTTAATTGTAGCAAACCTTTGTAGAAAGGAGATATTTTTAGCCTTGCAGGCTACTATTTTTATTTCTCTTGTTTACGCATCGGTCTCTCTCCTGTTTGGTTTTAAGCCGTTAAACTAGGTTTATTTGTGTTATTGCGTGGGAAATCAATGGGGCACAAATCTCCTGAAAGTCAAAAGTTTTAAAACCATTTGTGCAGGTTAGAGTGTAGGTCTTAACAACAGTTTGTGTTCCATGTGAGCGGATTTTCAATGGTGTACACATTTAGATGTGTTTCAACCTGTCATTGCATCCTAGCAGAAATGTGCTAGGAGTCATTGAGCAGCCTTGCTCAGTGCAGTTTTCATGCATCTTGGCTTTTTTATTTTTATTTTTTACGACTAATCGTGCTTTTAGCAGAAGGATGCATGCAATTCAGATGTTTCCTGAGGATGAAATGAAATGAATGCACAAACTATTAATGTAGCTGAGGTTTGCTTTTTCTTTCACTCCTGGTGCTGGCTTTAAAAGAGAAACGCCAGTGCTTTTTTTTCTGAGGGGACGCAGGGGTACTCATACCCCTAAACATTTTGTGAATCTAAGTTTGGCTTCATTGAGGGGCAGTATTTCAATATGAGTAGGAAAATGAGAGTAACCCTAAACATTCTTTTTTTAGGAAAAAAAAACCACACTGAGTATCGCTAATGTATTTCTTTTTCTTTTTTAAAAAGTATGCCTTAAATGAAAGAGTGAGTTTGACTTGCTCAAATGCCCGTTGTGGTTTCCCCCACTAAGAATAGGAGACAGAAATACTGTAATCATCGGTCTCAAAAAATGTGCTGTCAGATTGCTTGTAAAAACCCGAATTTAGAACTAAATTCAAACCCCTTTCAAGCCGTTGGCAGTGAATGAAACTCAGGGTGGGTGGCGAAAGCAGGGCATGCGATATTTACCAGCCTTCTTGCTTGCTTGTTGGCAGAGAGCTGAAAAAATGCTGCTAAGCTTTTGAATGAGAAACGCCATGTTGGAACAAAATTATGAGAACAATAGATGTGATACCCTCTGCATAGAATTCATTAAGCATAGATGTGTCAACTGCATCCATCTGCTTGTTCCCTTTAGGTGTATCAGCCCAGCTGACCAGCAGTCGTCTCCGTCGGAATACATCTGTGGGAACTCCTTTTTGGATGGCTCCTGAGGTTAGATGAAATATTATTAACTCCTACTATGGGGTTGTGTCTGTATCTGTTTCTCTCTCTCTCTTTTTAATCTATCACTTTCTAAATCCTTTGCTATACCCACCCCAAGTTTCTAGCTCTCTCTGTTCTGACACTATTCCATCTGGGGGGGGGGGTTGCATTTGATCTGTGTTAATACTATTAAAACAAACAGACTGCAGCCAAGCTCATGTTTTGGCATTATTCATTTGGGTCCAGTAAAATAAATCCCTGGCAGTGAAGTTAACTTTGTTCATGTTTAAATTGGTGTTGATAGGTTTATCGCAGAAATCTATATAATCCTGTCAGGTTTCATACATAATAAGTGTTGAGGCTGCATACACACCACATATTTAAAACACATGAATTCCACACCCTAAGATTCCTAGAAGTTTTGGTTGACCTCTCACAGAGCTACAGATCCAAACACCCTTAACAAACTACAGTTCCCATGTTTCTTTGGGGGAAGTAATGAACATTAAATGTATGGTGTGTGCCTGCAGCCTTATTAATATGTTCAGTTGCCTCTTCAGCTCACTCGATGCATGACATTTTCTCTGCGTAAATTTCCTCGAGGAAAAATTAAATAAGACCTGGAAAACCAAATGTATTCTTTCCCTCTCCCAATATTCAGCCACCAAACCAAATGTTTAACGGAGTATCCCAGGGGATTTCAGAGAAGGACAATGTGTGATAAAATGTATAGTCAAAAGAGACAACAAACCAACACGCTGTTCATTTCTCTTGCTCATTCTTTGCTGGGGCTGAAACTCGGGCGCGGGGGGGAATGCAGAGGTTTGTTAGTTTCTGCTATCCGACTGGTACTTGGGTCACTGAGGAGTTGAAATAATAATGCATTTCATGAAATTGGGCTCCTTTATGGATCACAATGGAATGTCAACAAAAGGACTGCCGCTCTGGGGACGTCAACACAACATGACCTACCAACAAAAGACTGTAAGAGCAGGCCAAAGCTCTATCTAGTCCTGCATCTTGTTCTCACAGGGCCTATGCAGATGCCTATGGGAAATCTGCAAGGAGAATCTGAACACAACATCACTCTCCCTAGTTGTGATTCCCAGCAACTAGCATTCAGAGGTATACTTCCTCTGACGGTAGAGGAAGAACAGTCTCTGGGCTAGTAGCTATTGGCAGCCAGTAGTACCAGGTTGCCCCCAAGATTGAGGGGGCCCAGCACACGTCACATGCACATGTGACATCACATGTACCCATTAAAGGGCTGGCTCCCTTTACAACAAATATTGAGGGAGCTGAGGTGCCTTTGAACTTCCCCCTAGAGTTGGTGTGCCTGTTGATATCTTCCATAAATCTGCACAACACTCTTTTAAAGCTAAACCACTCCTCCCCCAGCCATGTCCCATGGTCTGCCATGTGCTTGACCACCACACTCCCTCTGCAGTACCAGGCAGGTAAATACAGAACTTCTTTGAACTTTGGTGTACAGTGGTACCTCAGGTTAAGTACTTAATTCCTTCCGGAGGTCCGTACTTAACCTGAAACTGTTCTTAACCTGAAGCAGCACTTTAGCTAATGGGGCCTCCTGCTGCCGCCACACCACTGGAGCACGATTTCTGTTCTCATCCTGAAGCAAAGTTCTTAACCTGAGGTAATATTTCTGGGTTAGCGGAGTTTGTAACCTGAAGCGTATGTAACCTGAAGCATATGTAACCCGAGGTACCACTGTATTTCATTTAGAGAATCTGAAGTTGTTTAGGCTAGTGTAGAACGAGGACCCAGAAACCTGCCCAAGCAGAGATAACTTTTATGGAATAAGCCTGATTGCGCCTCATCCTTCGAACGTGATGAAGAGGCCATTTTGCCACTCCAAAGCTTATGAGGTTAGTGCCTTGCTAAGACCTCCTCAGTTATTTGCTACAGCTGTAGTTCAAGGCAGTAGTTGTTTTTGGACCCAGTATCAAGGACTTCACCTGGTCCTGGATTTTACTAATCCATCCTAGAAGGAAGTAATATTCAATTCCCTTTTTAAAGGGGAGGCTAAGCTAGTTGCTGAGGCAGACATTTTGTTGCCACGGCGACAGCTGCGGAAACATGGATGAGCACTTCCCTCCACCCTCTGCGTATTATTGCCATACAAGAGTCACGGTTTGAGGTGCTTCGGCCTCACAACTGTCATTCTCTGGCAGGCAGTGTGGAAGGCCAAAAAGCAGCTTAAATACTTGCCTCCTCAGAATACGTCCACTTCATAGGGCAAAAAGCCTGTAATTATGGCCTGTCTCATAGCTCTGCTGAAAAGGCTTAGTAATGTGTTTCAGATGCAAGCAAGAAGGTTGTGAAATGCCTGTCTGGCAGCACCTCCGGTTCAGATGCTGTTATTTAATTTTATATCTTAACAGGTAATTGCATGTGAGCAGCAGCTGGATAGTTCCTATGATGCCAGATGTGACGCCTGGTCACTTGGGATCACCGCTATAGAGTTAGGCGATGGAGATCCACCACTGGCTGATTTGCATCCTATGAGAGCTCTGTTCAAAATACCAAGGTACCATCTTATTTCACGTATCTTTCATTGGGCTGTCTACCTGACCACAATGGGGCAGGTGGAGGGGGAGGGATAACAGTTCTGTAAAATGTATTCAGTGATTTCATCCACGCAATGGCAGTCTCTTATGGTAGCGTTGTCTACTTCTTCCCTCAAATTTAATTGGAGAAAGAAAACTGAGCTCAGTGGGTCCTGCATGGAACTTTCTAGATAAGAGATGTTAGACTCTAGAACTTAACCTGTTTTGGGAAGGTAAATACTTACTGGCAAGTAGATACTTACTTTGGCAGCAAGTAGATATATGCGTAAATATAGTGCTGGGTGCCATTTTAACCATTTAAACTAGCAGCAGCCAATGTGGTAGGACCAACATGGCTACTAATCAGGGATTATGGGAGTTGAAGTCCATATACATCTGGCTTAGCAGAGGCAGGCCCATGTGGTGATGCCAGATATGTACCTGTTTCTTAGATGTTAAAGAATTCTTCATGGGTTATGCAATTGACCAATAGGTGGATTATGATCCTAATGGAATTAGAAGTAATCCTGACAATATTTTTTTTATGTGTACCCCCATTAATGAGAGGTTTCACAGAGTCCCTGTATGTACCCTGAGTTGGTTTCCTAGGAATGAACGTCACCGGAGTCTTACGACATTTTTGTGATTTTATTTACACATATATTCAGGCTGATCATAAGATCAAAGATTCACAGCATCAACTCTCCAACAGATCCCACTTCCCCATTAAGCTTCTCTGTGCCCCCCACCCCACCCTGTGCTATAACACTGGATTCTCACAGAGAGCAGATCAGCCTCTCTGTGTCTCTTTCAGACCCAGTTCCATGACTGCAAGTCTGTTGTTCTCTCTCAAACACATATAGACACTATGATAGCATCACTCCAGCCAGGGGAGGATGATAGAAAACACATGGACTCTTTTGTTCACCTTCCAGAATTGTCTCCAACCATTTAGTTTCTGTGGCCACACTCTAACCCTGGCTTACATAACAAAGAAGACACTTAACATAGTGTTTCCCAACCGGTGTTCCGCGGCACACTAGTGTGAGAGTTCATGTCTAATATAGCAAAGGCAGCTAGTACTCTGTGACCTTCCGGATGTTGCAGGACTCCAACTCCCATCAATCCCAGCCAACATGATGGGAGTTGGAGTCCAACAACATCTGGAGGTCCACAGAGTAGCCAGCCCTGCTCTATAGGGTTTCTTCAAGATACTGTAATATATTTGCACCATGGACCCTGTTATGTACTGAGTTGAATAGGATCCAAAAGGCAGCAGTCTGATTGGTCCTAAAACAATAGGATCCAGAATGCAGCAGTCTTACTGGTCCACAGGAGCCACCCAATCCAGCTCCAGGTGGAAGGGAATCCGCAACCTGATTGGCCTACAGGAGAGTATTAGCCAATCACGTGGGGCCCATTGTAACAGACCCATTTCCTTAACAAAATTAACTTGTTCAACCATTTCAGCCTCTTGTCATTGGCTGGAGTGAACTCCAAGAGGATATTTAATCCCACTGAATTTCATGACAGTGTTAGCAAACCAAAGAATTGTAAAGCCTACTGCCTTTAGGACTGCAGGGGACTTGCCACGACACATAAATAATGATGAATAGGTCATTAGTTGTATCATTTTGTTTGAATGCTAGAAAATTACTGCAGTTCTTGATTTATTTGATAGAGATTTTAAATCCCCCTTTTCCAAAGACTTATAACATTAAGACAATCAGTGGTGCATTATACTTTTCTAAACAATGCTCCTTTTAAGCTAGAGGAAATCTGTGTATTTTTTAATGACTCTTCCAGAAATCCATTACTCAGCTTGACTTCTCTCACTCTATTTGGTTGAAAATTTATTCGAGCTTATTGTAATTCTACATGTAAACCTATTTTAATGTCATCTTCCACAGAAATCCGCCTCCTACATTGCGGCAGCCAGAGATATGGTCATCTGAATTCAACGACTTTATCAGCAAGTGAGTGACAATGGAGCCATTTAAAAATAAATCAATGCATAAAGGAGCACCATGCAGTTAAAAACAATCTAGCGACATTTACAGTATTCAGATAGCATCCAAAATATTCAGATAGCCATAGAGTTGGAAGGATCCATGAGGGTCATCTAATTCAATCCCCTGCAATACAGTTCCCCATCCAATTTGAAACCAGGTAGGACCCTACTTAGCTTTGCAAATGGACTAGCAATTTTATTGCTGCTGCACCATTAATGCTTAGGCAAACCATAGTAATTTTTACACGGGATTCTACTATTCAGAAAACGCAGAGCAATTTCCAATATACAGAAACTATGAATTTTAAAGCAATGTCTTTGTAGCATAGGTTTCATTCTTTATTATTTTTATTTAGGACGTTTATATCCCACCTTTCGTCCATCATGAAACTGAAGACATCACAGAGGTTCCATAATGGGCTTCATAGGTGGTCTCCTACCGAGGCAGACATAGACCTGATTTACATTAGCAAGGTGGCTCCATCTTGGGCCCTCAGACCATGCTCTTGTTTTTACTATATCTGGGAGTACATAATGCTCTTTAGAGCCATAACAGTGGCTTCACCATGGGCAGAGGCAAAGATCTGAGATGGGACTGTAGCTCTGTGGTAGAAGACATGCTTTGCATCCCAAAGTTCCCAAACTCCATCCCATCTCTAGGAAGGGCTGGGGAAATCCCTGGTTTGAAATCCTGGAGAGCTACTGCAAATCATTGTGGACGATACTGAGCTGAGTGGGCCACTGGTCCTACTTGGCATAATGTGGCTTCCTATGCTCTGTGTATGTTGGTCCATTGGCTACAGACTAATCCCCAGGGAATTGGTGGGTTACACCACCTTTTTTTGGGTCATGTCCACCTTAAAGCACTCCTAACCGTCATGGTGAATCCTGGAAATTATAGTTTGTTAAGAGAGCTGGCAATTGTAGCTCTGTGAGGTCAGCACCCTTAGCAAACTTCTGTTGTGGATGTGACAGAGAGAATACAAAGCTCACACCTAGAAACTGCCGAAAAAGGGCATGAGGTACTAAGTAAATCATGTTACTCCAGTAACATATTCCTCTTTTTTAAAAAAAAAAAAAGTATGTTTGTTTGCCCACTGAACTTATGAATATTGCTCTCTGAGCATTGTACAAAAGGAGAGCAATATTGTTGTGCGCACTCCAATTTCTGAATGGCAAGAGACTCAGGGGTGCCTGCGCTTGCCCAAAATTGTGTTTCCTTGGAATGTAGGTTAGCAGAGACTACAACCATACCTTGGTTCTTGAACGCCTTGGTACTCGGACGTTTGTGCTCCCAAACGCCGAAAAGCCGGAAGTAAGTGTTCCAGTTTTTGAAGCTGGATGTCCGATGTGGCTTCCAATTAAGTACAGGAAGCTCCTGCAGCCAATTGGAAGCTGCGCCTTGGTTTCTGAACGGTTTTGGGAGTCAATCAGACTCCTGGGATGGATTAAGTTTGAGAACCAAGGTATGACTGTATTGTGTCTTTAGGGTGGTTTCATTCAAATGTATGTGCAACCTGATCATAGGATGGAGGTGGCTGTCACCTCAACAAATATTGCTGGTTTCCTCATATACATTTTACCTTCCCCTACACTGGATCACAAGTTCGTAAGGGACACCCATGAGTATCATCCAGACTGACCACCCCACAAACCTATAGCAAGATTAAAACAGACAAGAAACACAAAAATCCAGCAACATTATAAAAGCACCAATTAAAAGGGGAGCTGAAGACATAAAAAGCTGTCTGGAGTCAACATCACTAAGCTACAGCTCCTCTGCCCCTCACCCTGCCATGTTCCCATGCTGGTGAACATGGTGCTGCCAGGAGGGGAGGTCACTAAAGGTAAAGGTAAAGGACCCCTCGAAGATTGAGTCCAGTCAAAGGTGACTATGGGGTGCGGTGCTCATTTTGCTTTTCAGGCCAAGGGAGCCGGTGTTTGTCCACAGACAGCTTTCTGAGTCATGTGGCCAGCATGACTAAACCGCTTCTGGCATAACGGAACACCATGACGGAAACCAGAGCGCATGGAAATGCCGTTTACCTTCCTGCCACAGTGGTTATCTACTTATCTACTTGCCCTGGCATGCTTTCGAACAGCTAGGTTGGCAGGAGCTGGTACAGAGCAATGGGAGCTCACCCCGTCATGCAGATTCGAACCTCTGACCTTCTGATCAGCAAACCCAAGAGGCTCAGTGGTTTAGACCACAGTGCCACCCGCTCCCATAGGGGAGGTCACTACACCCACAGGACTCTTCCATGTCCCACTGCTTGAAATCAGGCTTCCTCCCTAGTTCTCTGCTACCATCTGTCTTTTTATTACATAACCGCATTTCCTAAAAGCTGTGCTTTTTCCAATGGTGCAGGTGTTTGACCAAAGATTATGAGAAACGCCCAACAGTGTCTGACCTGCTGCAGCATGACTTTGTGAAGCAAGTGGAGGGCAAAGAGACTGTCTTGCAGATGCAGCTGATGGAATTCATTGATGTTCACCAGCAAATGGGAATCACAGAAAAAGCAAGGTACTTTTTTTTGGGGGGGGAGGGTCTGTCAGCATGTAACAAAATGTGGTCTTTGTTGTTGTTGTTGTTTAGTCATTTAGTCATGTCCGACTCTTCATGACCCCATGGACCAGAGCACGCCAGGCACTCCTGTCTTCCACTGCCTCCCACAGTTTAGTCAAACTCATGTTGTAGCTTCGAGAACACTGTCCAACCATCTCGTCCTCTGTCGTCCCCTTCTCCTTGTGCCCTCCATCTTTCCCAACATCAGGGTCTTTCCCAGGGAGTCTTCTCTTCTCATGAGGTGGCCAGAGTATTGGAGCCTCAGCTTCACAATCTGTCCTTCCAGTGAGCACTCAGGGCTGATTTCCTTCAGGATGGATAGGTTTGATCTTCTTGCAGTCCATGGGACTCTCAAGAGTCTCCTCCAGCACCATAATTCAAAAGCATCAATTCTTCGGTGATCAGCCTTCTTTATGGTCCAGCTCTCACTTCCATACATCACTACTGGGGGAAAATGTGATCTTGAAGACCATTTATTTAAATTATTCTTCAAATTTTTATTTTAAGCGACATCCTCATTTTTTATGAATGCAACCCACTTAAGTAGCAAGCATCTCTGTAAACCAGTGAGGAAGCTGGAATTTGAACTAAGACTTGAACAGATTATGTAATATTAGATAAGCATAATGTGACTTAACCAAACTGAATACAACCCACTGCTCACGTGTGGCTGTTTGCCAGGTGTTGGGAACTCCCTGCTCTTACAATCCCAGTCAGGCAATCCTTAGTGGTCCACCATACATATCTGCTCAGCTGTGGAATACACTCTTTGTGATGCCTGTTAACTGTTCTCACAGGATTGAGGCCCCTGAAGTTCTTCCACAGGAATAACTGTGGCCAAAATATCCCCCTCTATGAAGTTGCATTATTTCTGGCAAAACATTTCCTTCATGTGCAAAGGGAAGGAAATGTGTTGCCAGAAATAATGCCACTTTGAGACGGGGATATTTTCATCCTTGTTCCAACAGTATTTAGCAAAGTAATTATGCATTATGAAGCATTCATAATCTTCGAGCCTTGTATGAAATTGCCCAAAGTGTTTTGGCTCTGTTTCAGAAATTCTGAAACAAGTTCATCAAAGTAATGTTCTGAATGTGAGACTTAGTCATTGGTGAATATTGATATATTTCTACTCTGCTTCAAGGTAACAGATAATAGGTTTTTTTGAAGGGGATCAAATAGCACATAGAACATAAAAGGCGGTGCTATTTTAACAGTCTCAATTGTTAATGTCTCCTTTTTCCCACATCAAATGAGCTGTATAGAGAAATCTGATTAAGATCAGTTGCGTTTCTTCTTATTGATATTTTTGGTGGCTTAATGTTTTTTGGTTTGTGTTTTGTTTTGTTTTTGCAATCTTCCAGTGAGATCTGAAGATTTATTTTGTTCTTTTTATAGTCTGCAATTTATCTTATAAGGATGCATTGCCCCCCCCACCCCCCTGCAAATGAATATAATTACCCTTAGCATTTTGAAAAACTCTTTTAACCATGAAGTGACAAGCTCTTGCAGGAATAAAGTCCCAATGACCAAGAACAAATCCAGTGCATGGTACTAAGGAGAGAGCCTGAACTTCAAAGCCAAGAAATCAAATTAGATGTATGAGTTGATGCAAGCTGCAAACCTAAATACTGAAATTGTGAACACTGTGTAGAACACAGTTGCTTAAGTGTTTCTATTTAATGTTGCCAGTGACAAAACGGCAGATAATCTAAATAATCTTCCCTCTTCTCAGTTTGATCATGCAAGGCTGGCTTGTGTAGAGTCAAACCATTGGTTCATCAGTATTATCCATCTTCTATCTAGCTCTTGATGTGAAGAAATTAAGTGGGGGGGGGTTTCTAGTCTCACATGGAGAATATCAAGGACTGAACCAGGGATCTTTTGCCTGCAAATCATGCACTTCAAGGTCCCTCCTCCAAGCAGCTACCTTCTGCCCCAGTTCTGACTGCCAAGCCAGCTAGCCAATAACTTCATGGCAGCATTTCCTTCATTTTCTCCTCCTACAGCATTCCAGTTCAGATAAAGTGGTCACTTGTCCCTTTAAAAAGCATACAAGTAGTAAACACTGAATATGTATTTCGAATTTAAACTGCACTGAATGAAATGCAAAGGTATAGGTGCCCCAAATGAAAGCCCAAAATGAGAGCCATTGTGGTGTAGTAGAGTGTCAGACTAGGACCCGGGAGACCATGGTTCAGAACTCAGCCATGAAGCTTACCTTGGGCCAGTCACTGCCTCTCAGCCTAGCCTACCTCACAGAGTTGTGTGGGGATTAACAGACTCCTAGAACTCTACCAGATTTTGCCCATTTTGAAGACTAACATCAGAGCCATAAGGGCTAAAACCTGCACCTTCCCCCAGTTATTCTGAAGACATTGGCTCTCTGCTACTTGATATCCAATGCTACACTCTGGTGTGAAGCTGCAGCACAAGCAACCAACCCTTGAGAGGTGATTTCTGTGACCTTTGATTCCTGAGTGTCAAGCTCATATCTACCTCTAAGGTACGGTTGCCATATTTCAAAAAGTGAAAACCAGGACACCCTGAAAGTTTCTGAGGTTTTTCCCCCCAGACAAATCCCAAAGTTGTTGAGCCCCAAAGTTGCCAGAAAACCCCCAATTTTTCAGAAAATCCCCCAGACATCAATTCCACCTTTGAAATTCCAGTAATGTCTGGGGAAATAGCAGCCCTACTCTAAGGTGCTTTGTGTGGTCCAATCACTTTTAAAGTGCACTTATTGTGGTCCAAGGCTGTTCCAGCGCATGGAATCAGATTTCATTTTGACTTCACCCCTCTCCTGTACAGTGGTACCTCGGGTTAAGTACTTAATTCGTTCTGGAGGGCCGTTCTTAACCTGAAACTGTTCTTAACCTGAAGCACCACTTTATCTAATGGGGCCTCCCACTGCTGCCACGTTGCTGGAGCACGAGTTCTGTTCTCATCCTGAAGCAAAGTTCTTAACCCGAGGTATTCTTTCTGGGTTAGCGGAGTCTGTAACCTGAAGCGTATGTAATCTGAAGCGTATGTAACCCGAGGTACCACTGTATTTGATTTGAGGTCATAATAATCCATGGGATGTTCCTTGATCACATTCACATCAGTGTTCACAATCAGCGATCTTCTGACACTTTCAACTTGTTTGCAGAAGGCTACCCTCAGCTTTTACAACACTCTTTTTCTCCGCTCCTCCTCCACAGTTCACCCATATAAAGCAGCCTTGCTCATCCTAACATGCTCCAGTGCATAGCAATTAGATGACTAAAAGTGACACTCAAACAAGGAGGTTATTCCATCAAGCATTATCTGGCAAGATCAGCTTGTCTTCTGTTGTCTCATCTGCCCATTTTGTGTTTGCCAGTCCAAGAAGGATTGTAGTGATGCTTCTGCTTTGGGTTTTTTTGTTGTTGTTTTTGTAGCTGATCCAATTAGGTTTCACTACAAAAGATTTTTCACACACACATAAACCAGCCCTGCAAGCATTTGGACAGGATTTACAGGGAGAACTTTAGAGAAAAGATCTAGAAAACATGTTGCTTGTTGATGTGTTAAAGGAACTGGGTGTGACCGATAGATGTGGGGATATATGTGTTGAGAGAAGACTACTGTGTACATGTGACTTTTTATTCCAGAATCAATGGAGGCTGAGTGCTTGTTTTTTCTATGTAGTCCACATACCATCTAGATCTGTTGCATATCCCCCCCAAGCTCCCACAAAAAGTGCTTATTGAAGACCAGGTTTCATTCTGAAAATAAAAGTTTGTTGCAGATGGATTCTGCATCATCCCACAGTGTGTCCATATGAAAGAGATGTAGGTAGTTGTATCCACACCTGCCCAATGATTTGGGTGGGCTTATACCAAGATTTCAGTCACCACTGGAATAGGAGGAAGAAGAAGACTTTGAGATTGCTATGCCTCTTATAGGATCCCAGGGCAGTGTGTGTGCAAATGACCAAAGCAAAACAGTATGATGCTTAACCATGGAAGTTGGCAACCTATGTCACAGTTAAACTATGCCATAGATTACTCTGACTGCCATCGTTTCACTTCTTAAAGCAATAAACCACGGTGAACACCACCCACAGTTAAGCATCATACTGTTGTTTGGTTTTTGTCATTTGCACACTGCCCTGGGATCCGATGGGATAAATGTCAGCCTAATTACTTTACAAATGGCAACAAATTGCCAAGGATTTGGCATTTTCCACGCTATTTTTGGAGCCATCAAAGATCACTTTTATTCATTTTGACAATTGAAACTGAAAGAGCTCCAGTGGCCTCGTTTTGCTTTGATTGAAAGGCAGGGATGAAGTGGGGGTGGCGGCAGGGAGGAGAGAAACTGAGCAGAAACAATAACTGTCTTGAGTCATTCTGTTGTCGATACAGCCTTGATGAATCAGCCTGTCAGGTCTTTGGAAGTGCCTGTAGAACAGAACGTCTGTGGCAAACACAAAGAATAAAAATCCACAGATTAAGATGGGGAAACGAGTGATATTTTTGTTTACAGTGCCCATGAGCAGGATGGGGGGAGGTTGGAAATCCATCCGCCAACGTCAGATGGGAGAATTATTTTTATCAACTCTTTGGGGGCAAATGAAGAGAAGCGGCATCATTCACACCCCTCGAGGGATCTGTGCCCTTTCACATTAGAGCAGGCAAAACATTGTGTTCTCATATCTGTCTCTTCTGTATACGTTGCATGATGAAGCTGGCTTCTAAAGCTAGTCATAAAAGAATCAGTAAGGAAGAACTCCCCCTGAAAGCTGAATATATGAGCAGCATCAGTGAACATGAAGCGGGTGGAATGAAATTGGCATTCTTAGAGGAAAGCCCAGGTAGAAGGAAAATGCAAGAGGAGGAACAGAAGATTCCCTTGGGTCTTGGCTTATTTCTGTTTCTCCCCAGCTTAGCCATTGCTAAACCCTCCCCAGTTTCTCCCCAGTTTAGCCATTGCTAACCCTGTGGGCTGAATGTGATATATACCACATTGGCAATTATTCTAGCAACGCTTCTATGTATTTGCCAGCATGGTTCCATTTTTTTAAATAATAATAAAAAAATCACAGTATGTAATGGTTGACACTAGGAATGGGAAATGACAAGTTGACTCAAGGTCTACATCCTTTCCTGATGTGGGGGGAGGGGAATAGAATAGAATGGGAAAGATAAGCTGTCACTTCCTGCATCTATCGTTCGTGGGCAGCTGCTTGATCAAAGTCACCCTGCTGACAGGACAGGCGTTGGAAAGGAGATGACCTTCATGTACAGCGTTGCTGAGCAAATGGATTCAGAAATTACAGATTTGTGTGAAAGCCAAACATCACTTGCCCATATTGAAATGCCTGCAGCCTCAACATAATACTTTCCCCCGCCTGCAGTTCCTTAGGATGTACATGTAACGTACCATGACCTTTCATTTGAACAGCAGGGCATTATCAAAAGACGTTTTTGTGCCCGTGGCTCATGTCACCTTTGAGCTTTTCTAGTGTTCTTTGTGAGAATGTGCATAAGATCTTGTTCTGGGGATCTGAGGTCAGGGCTGGGGGAAGATGTGTGTGCACATGCTGGGAATTGTGGCTCTGTGAAGGGTAAACTATAATTCCTAGGAGTCTTTCAGGCAGGAGCAGAGATGCTTTGAATGTGCTTTAAATGTATGGTGTGCGTAAGCTCCGCCCACTGTCACCATTACTGTCACCCTCCTCAAGTTAGAGAGGAAGCATCTGAAGTAGAGAGCTTCCTATGGCGGAAGATCAGGGATCTGAATGGCAAAAAGAGTCTTGACCAATACATGAGACCCAGTGTGGTGTTGTGGTTAAGAGCGGTAGTCTCGTAATCTGGTGAACCGGGTTCGTGTCTCCGCTCCTCCACATGCAGCTGCTGGGTGACCTTGGGCCAGTCACACTTCTCTGAAGTCTCTCAGCCCCACTCACCTCACAGAGTGTTTGTTGTGGGGGAGGAAGGGAAAGGAGAATGTTAGCCGCTTCAAGAAACAGTGGGGTCACTCAGAGGAGAAGATGGTGAAATGCAAACAGGGGACACAGAAAGGGCTGAACTCCTCAATGCTTTCTTTGCCTCAGTCTTCTCCGATAAAGAAAACAATGCCCGACCTGAAGAATTTGGAGCAAATGATTCAGCAGAGGAAACACAGCCCAGAATAACTAAGGAGATAGTACAAGAATACTTGGCTAGTCTAGATGTATTCAAGTCTCCAGGGCCAGATGAACTGCATCCAAGAGTATTAAAAGAACTGGCAGATGTGATTTCAGAACCACTGGCAGTCATCTTTGAGAATTCCTGGAGAACAGGCGAAGTCCCGGCAGACTGGAGGAGGGCAAATGTTGTCCCTATTTTCAAAAAGGGGAAAAGAGAGGACCCAAATAATTACCGCCCAGTCAGTCTGACATCAATACCAGGGAAGATTCTGGAGCAGATCATTAAGCAAACAGTCTGTGAGCACCTAGAAAGGAATGCTGTGATCACCAATAGTCAGCATGGATTTCTGAAAAATAAGTCATGTCAGACTAACCTGATCTCGTTTTTTGACAGAATTACAAGCCTGGTAGATGAAGGGAACGCAGTGGATGTAGTCTACCTTGATTTCAGCAAGGCATTTGACAAGGTGCCCCATGATATTCTTGTAAAGAAGCTGGTAAAATGCGGTCTTGACTATGCTACCACTCAGTGGATTTGTAACTGGCTGACTGACCGAACCCAAAGGGTGCTCATCAATGGTTCCTCTTCATCCTGGAGAAGAGTGACTAGTGGGGTGCCACAGGGTTCTGTCTTGGGCCCGGTCTTATTCAACATCTTTATCAACGACTTGGATGATGGACTCAAGGGCATCCTGATCAAATTTGCAGATGACACCAAACTGGGAGGGGTGGCTAACACCCCAGAGGACAGGATCACACTTCAAAACGACCTTGACAGATTAGAGAACTGGGCCAAAACAAACAAGATGAATTTTAACAGGGAGAAATGTAAAGTATTGCACTTGGGCAAAAAAAATGAGAGGCACAAATACAAGATGGGGGACACCTGGCTTGAGAGCAGTACATGTGAAAAGGATCTAGGAGTCTTGGTTGACCACAAACTTGACATGAGCCAACAGTGTGACGCGGCAGCTAAAAAAGCCAAATGCAATTCTGGGCCTCATCAATAGGAGTATAGCATCTAGATCAAGGGAAGTAATAGTGCCACTGTATTCTGCTCTGGTCAGACCTCACCTGGAGTACTGTGTCCAGTTCTGGGCACCACAGTTCAAGAAGGACACTGACAAACTGGAACGTGTCCAGAGGAGGGCAACCAAAATGGTCAAAGGCCTGGAAACGATGCCTTATGAGGAACGGCTAAGGGAGCTGGGCATGTTTAGCCTGGAGAAGAGGAGGTTACGGGGTGATATGATAGTCATGTTCAAATATATAAAAGGATGTCACATAGAGGAGGGAGAAAGGATGTTTTCTGCTGCTCCAGAGAATCGGACACGGAGCAATGGATCCAAACTACAAGAAAGAAGATTCCACCTAAACATTAGGAAGAACTTCCTGACAGTAAGAGCTGTTCGACAGTGGAATTTGCTGCCAAGGAGTGTGGTGGAGTCTCCTTCTTTGGAGGTCTTTAAGCAGAGGCTTGACAACCATATGTCAGGAGTGCTCTGATGGTGTTTCCTGCTTGGCAGGGGGTTGGACTCGATGGCCCTTGTGGTCTCTTCCAACTCTATGATTCTATGATTCTATGATTCTATGATTCTATGATTCTAAGACTCCTTCGGGTAGTGATAAAGCAGGATATCAAATCCAAACTCCTCTTTGCCTTCAAGAGACCCCTGTTTCACACCCTTCAGCCTGTAAAGAGAGATGGCGGTGGGGACAGAGCTTAGCAACATTACCCCTGCTCCCCTCAACTCATTGGGTTGGTTCTAAACATGAGTAGAAGGTGTGAACAGGGTTATTGCTAATGTCACAACTGTTCTTCCTGCATTTTTCTTTGCATGTAGAAGCATCCTTCCATGTTTTTGTTTTCTTGAACAGATTTGAGCGTATTCATACTAAGAAAGGGAATTACAGTAGGTCTCCAGTTACCAACCAGGAAGATGTAGATGATTTGGCAACCTTGGAAGTACTAGATGAGGTAAGACACTTTTTTTGTAAAGAAAAAATGCTAGGGGATTTTGTAGATTGAGGAACTTGCATGCTGAGAACAGGCACCCACCCTGGGTAATAGTCTTCTGTGATAGGACAATCTGTGGTTTAAATTTCTGGATGGGGTTGTATTTCCCTCATGGGGGTCAGTGGCTATAGGACCAGGTGTTATTGGGCTATAGTTCCCGATGTTCCTGACCATTGGGCATTCTGGTTGGGGTTAATAGGATCTGGAGTACAACAACATTTGGAGAGCCTTAAAGAATCAATCCTACCACCTGGAAATGCTGTTAGCCTCTGATTTTGATACTCACCAAGCCAGTGGTTCGTCATTATTAGTCGATTTCTAGAGTGTTTTATACTTTTGAAACAGCTTTGCCAACATTAGCCAATTAATGGCACAGGAGCTGAACTAATGGATGCAATTAATCTAAGGTGTTAGGTTCTCATCCAAACATTTATTTGCACTATGATGAGCCATATGCTAAGAAGTTGTTTTTTTGCCAAAAGGCAAAAGTCATTAAATGTGATAGCGTGTGTAGCTAATGAGAGAAAGAAGTAGCAAAATTCTCCTCTCCTCTCCGGTCTTGTGTGAATTTTGCAAGGCAGGTATAAAAACATGGTGGATGATGAGATTGAAAGTAAAATCATGGGCAACACAAGGCCAGCACAAGTGCTGTATATCCACAAATTGTGGCCTGATATGTTAGGGTCTCCTACGTAATGTTATCTGAAGTGGCTAAATTAGATTAGAGTCAATCTGTTACTTCTTACTTGGGGCAAATGACAAAATAAGGCAACTGAGGAAATGATAGAGATCCCCAAGTGCGTATTCTATATGAGAGTGAGTAGACTCTGTAGAAGGAGCCATAGCTCAGTGGTAGAGTACACTCCTCGCACACCAAAGGTTCCAGGTTCAATCCTTGGTGTCACCATTTAATTTTAAATAGATCTCAGGCAGCAGATTAGGAGAATCTTGGAAAGTTAATGGCAGTGAGAGTTGACAAGTTAGATAGAGCATTAGTCAGACACAGTTAGGATGGGCCATAACTCAGGGACAGAGCACATACTTTGCATGCTTTAAAGGCCCCAGATTCAACCCACAACACCTCTAGGTAGGGCTGAGTGAGAAGGTCACTTATCAGAAACCCTGGAGAAATGCTGCCAGTCATTCCAGACAATACTGAACTGGATGGACTCACTGTGTGACATAGTAGGAGGTCTTCTGTGGCTCTAATACATTCTTGTGCTACTAATCACTAATGCAGATGCACAGAACTGAAGGTAAATGAGCACATAGTAAGGGAACACACAATTATGCATGTTGGCAATATGGCTCAAGACACCAAAACGTTTCTGATGTCTGTGTAGTATCAAGATGCCCGAAAGTCCTGGTTCTCAATTCCTTTGAATAAATTTTCAAAACCAGACATCAATAGACATGTCCTTCTCTGCCCCCCCCCCAACAGAATACAGTAACAGAGCAACTGCAAAAGAGCTACGCCAAGAATCAGATCTACACCTACGTGGGGGACATTCTCATTGCAGTCAATCCTTTTCGGAACTTAGACCTTTACGCTACACAGGTAGGAAAATAAAATCTTGCAATTTTGAGTGATTGCACACATCCACCCCTTGGTAACATCACTGGGCTTGACCACATGTCCCTGGAGCTTTCAAATACCTCTCTGGAGCTGTTTGCTTAGATCTGTCGGAGAAGTGATTGATGTCCGATGCTTGGACTAAAGACAGGCCACAAGGGAAGAAGTTGTGCAAAGTCTCATTTCTCACTCTGAGTTGGAAGAGAACACTGAGTGGAATATTGCCTCTGAGCATTCAGAGCTAAGCAAATGAGAACAGTGGTACCTCAGGTTAAGTACTTAATTCGTTCCAGAGGTCCGTTCTTAACCTGAAACTGTTCTTAACCTGAAGCACCACTTTAGCTAATGGGGCCTCCTGCTGCCGCCGCGCCACTGGAGCATGATTTCTGTTCTCATCCTGAAGCAAAGTTCTTAACCTGAAGCACTATTTCTGCGTTAGCGGAGTCTGTAACCTGAAGCGTATGTAACCCGAGGTACCACTGTATTCCAAACCAGGTAATTATAAATTTTGGCAACATCACTTCTCAGTCAGTCTCATGAGGCCAGTAGCACAAGATGATAGTCTAAAACAGAGGAGTACATAGCATTTCTCTTTTAACTTTTCAGCATTCCAAACTGTACATTGGGGCCAAACGGACTGCCAACCCTCCTCACATCTTTGCTGTGGCTGATATCGCATACCAGTCCATGGTCACATTCAGCTCTGATCAGGTAGTGCTAATGGCGGGCCAGGTTTGATATACCCCTCTGGGTTGTGAAGATAGCCAGTTATAGCATGTGCTCTTCCACTCTTGCCTTCAGTGTATTGTCATATCTGGAGAAAGTGGAGCAGGGAAGACACAAAGTGCCCATCTTCTGGTTCAGCAGTTGACTGTCCTTGGAAGGGTAAGACATATCCTAGACCTCTTTATTTATGTCTTTGCCAGGCATAGGCAAACTCCAGCCTCCAGATGTTTTGGAACCACAATTCCCATCATCCCTAGCTAACAGGGCCAGTGGTCAGGGATGATGGGAATTGTAGTCTCAAAACATCTGGAGGGCCGGAGTTTGCCTATGCCTGGTCTTTGCCTTCTGTCTCCTGTACCATGCCAGCTCAGCCACCAACTTGTAAATAAAGCCTTTGCCACATCTTTCTTTTGCACCCTTAGACATGATCAAATCCCCAACAGAATGGAGAGCGGTTCAAATAAATATGTTCCCCTAGTTAATAGGTGAACTAGCCTTTACTTTCTGCTAGTTATTGATGGTGGACATCCCCAGATAAGGAGGATTCCAACAACCCCACAGAGGAAAGGAGTACTATTCCGTCACCGCTCTGAAAAATTACATTTGTGTTTTAAAGTTCTGTGCATTTTCCTTATTGCTGTTGTTATTTTGGAATGCGTATCTAGGCTAATAACAGGACACTTCAAGAAAAAATTCTCCAAGTCAACAATCTGCTGGAGGCTTTTGGAAATGCAGGCACTATTATTAATGATAATTCCAGCAGATTTGGGAAATACCTAGAAATGAAGTTCACTTCCAGTGGAACTGTTGTAAGTGCTCTGATTTCAGAATACCTCCTAGAAAAATCAAGAGTCATACATCAAGCTGTGTAAGTAAAAGGAAAACAAAGGGGGTGCTTTTCTGGCTGTGGGAAAGAGAGAGGGAGGCTTGGTTCAAACAAACTCTAAGGGTGGTACAGCCTACATGTCATTGGGGTGGGACTCCATCTGCCTAGCCCAGGCACTGTAAAGTCTAGCAGGCATAGGCAAACTCGGCCCTCCAGATGTTTTGGGACTACAGTTCCCACCATCCCTGACCACTGGTCCTGTCAGCTAGGGATGATGGGAGTTGTAGTCCCAAAACATCTGGAGGGCCGAGTTTGAGGGTGCCTGGACTAGCCCAATCAGACACCTTGGATGTTGCCTCTGAAACTGCATTGTGCATAACCTGAACTGTGTTGTTGTTATTATTATTGTTGTTGTTTACATTTTATGTTGGCTAATGCCCATGTAGCTTGGGCCTTTACATCTAAGCCAGGCTTCCTCAAACGTGGCCCTCCAGATGTTTTTGGCCCACAATTCCCATGATCCCTAGCTGGCAGGACCAGTGGTCAGTGATGATGGGAATTGTAGTTTCAAAACATCTGGAAGGCTGAGTTTGAGGAAGCCTGATCTAAGCTCTGTGTAAACGTTATGATGACCAACACATTGATTTATTTGGGTTAAGCATTAACAGTGGACTGGGAATCATGATGTCGCATTCCCCTGAGTTGGGCTAAGCTACTTCTATGATTACTATTACCATTTATTGCATTTGTTAACTGTTGCGATTCTACTGTAAGCTGTTTTAGGAGGGCTTGTTGCCCTGAAAGGCAGTGGGAAAACATTTCGAATAAAATAAATTTTATAATAGTAGAAGGCAATAAGAAATTAGACGTTACTGTTTCAATGTTGATTGTGTTTCAATAATTGCCATATTGGAGTGTGTGGTGTGTTTTTTCCCATTTCAGAGGAGAGAAGAATTTTCATATTTTCTATTACATCTATGCTGGTTTGGCTGAGAAGAAAAAACTAGCTCATTACAAATTGCCAGAAAATAAACCTCCCAGGTATAACATTCCATTTGTATTGCATTCTTTAGGATAAATGCATATGTGGGCTGCCTTTGCTAGAGTGAGCCTTCTGAAATGTAGAGTGGATTCACAATTTCTCATACTCTTTTCCCTGTCCCCATCATCCCTCTAGGTATCTACAAAATGAACATCTCAGAACTGTACAAGATTTAATGAACAATAGCTTCTACAAATCCCAGTTTGAATTAATTGAGCAGTGCTTCAAGGTGATTGGGTTTACGATGGAGGTGCGTGTCAGTGATATTTTAACTTGTGCACCTTAGAGAGAGAAAAGTAGGTCTTGATTGACAGTAGCACGTATGAAGGTTGCCAATCATTTCTAGAGTAGTGGGGTGTCTCGCTCCCAGTTCAGGGGCCTGATCCAACTCCCACACTAATTTCTCCCCCCCCCCAAGATGCCACTAATTTTGGAGGCAGTGGCAAAAAGAAGGGGAATACATCTGACACAGTGCTAAAGTGGCTGAAACCCATCGCCCTGATGGGAATGCAAATCACCTCCTCTCCAGTCATCAGATCAGCTGTTTGATGAGCAGAGAGAGGTCAATAACACCTGACTGTCTATGTTTTCCCGAGATGTCCCTGATTTAGAGAAGCCATCCTGGTTTCTGATTTGATCCTGGAATGTCCTGCTTTTCCTTAGGGTGTCCCTATTTTCACTGGAGAAAGGTTGGAGGGTATGGTAGGATGTCCCTATTTTCATTGGAGAAATGTGGGAGGGTATGTATAGAGAAGTTTTTAAAATGTTTAATATTTTATTACATTTTTATATACGTTGGAAGCCACTCAGAGTAGCTGGGGCAACCCAGCAAGATGTGTGGGCTATCAATAGTAAAATTATCAGTAGGGAACGGGGCGTCTCTATTTTCACTGGAGAAATGTTGGAGGATATGTAACACCCCCTTCTCAGCTGATCTGCATGTTGGAGGGGGATTTCCAGCCAGTGGCAGAGGTTTCTGTGCCGAATGTCCTCTAACACCCCCTCTCGTTCAAACAGAAACAATAGTATTTTAAACAGAACAGAACATATTTACATATCACACACAGCAACTCCCAACTTTGCTACCAGTCGTGTATGTTTTTCAAAGGTTAACGCTTTTGTAAATACATCCGCCACATTTTGTGTACTTTCACAATACTTCAGCATTATCTGGTTCTGTTTTACATTTTCAGCTACATTTTGATATTTAATTTCCAAATGCTTTGATTTGTTTCTAAACAGGTCAGATCCAGACAAGGTTATTACGGCTTGATTATCTTCCATAATTTGAACGGGATAATCACACTGTACGTTTATATCCTTGAGGATCTGAACATAAAATTTTACTTCATTACATAATTCCGACAATGCACAGTATTCGGCCTCAGTTGATGATGTGGCCACTATACTTTGTTTTTTGGATTTCCAACCTATTAAAGAATCCCCAAATTGAAATACCATTCCAGAGATTGATTTTTTATCAGGCAGGTTGGCCCAATCGCTGTCAACGTAACACTGCAATTTTGTGGAACCTGAAGATGGTAATCTTAAACAATAATCAAGTGTTTGCTTTAGATACCGGAAAATACGTTTTAAACCTTTCCAGGCATTTTCTGTAGGACAGCTTACTAGTCTGCTTAGTATTCCAACTGCATAACTCAAATCTGGTCTGCTCCACAATGAAATGTATAATAAACTTCCAATTATTGAATGGTACATTTCAGGATTTACAGGTTCTGTGCATTCTCCTTCATTTTTGAAAAAACCTATTTCCATTGGGGTTTTTACTCCCTTGCAGTTTTGCATATTGTTTCTTTCAAGTAACTCCATTATTTTGCCTTTTTGACTCAACAAAAAACTTCCATCGTTTGTTCTTTGAATTTCTAAACCGAGATAATTTTTTACTGGACCCAAATCTCTTACTTTAAATTCCTTTCTTAGTTGTTCTGCAAATTTTTCCACTTGCTTGTCACTTTTTGTAGAGTAAAGCAAATCATCAACGTAACACAAACACAATTCTTGTTTATCACCCTTTCCTTTAGTGTACAAGCAGTTATCAGCTAAGCTTCTTTTAAAGCCAAGATTTTTTAAAGCATTATCAAGACACTCGCTCCAATTTCTAGCTGACTGTTTGAGCCCATAAATTGCTTTGTTCAGCCTATATACAGAATTCTGTTCTCCTGCCTCAAAACCTGGCGCTTGATTCATAAAAATTTCTTCTTGCAGATTTGCGTTAAGATAAGCTGTTTCAATATCAAAAAGGTTTACCTTAAACCCACGTTGTGCTGCAAGAGCTAGCAATAAGCGTACACTTTCACTCCTTGCAGTAGGAGAAAAGGTTTCATCAAAGCTTTCACCTTTTCTTTGAGTAAAGCCTCGTGCTACCAGTCTGGCTTTGTACTTAACATCACCATCTGCCAAATGTTTTATTTTATACAGTGGTGCCCCGCAAGACGAACGCCTCGCAAGACGGAAAACCCGCTAGACGAAAGGGTTTTCCGTTTTGGAGGCGCTTCGCAAAACGAATTTCCCTATGGGCTTCCTTCGCAAGACGAAAGCCCATAGGGAAATCTCCGGGACAGCGGGGAAGCGCAGCGCGTCTTCCCCACTGTCCTCAGACCTCCTCCCGCCGCCAGGCTTCGGAAGGCTGCTCCGAAGCCTGGCGTGGGGCGGAGAGGTTTTTTAAAAACCCCGGGACAGCGGGGGACTTCTCCGCTGTCCGGGGCGATTTTAAAATGCTGCCGGGTGGCAGCGCTGCCGCCCAGCAGCATTTAAAAAAACCCGGGACAGCGGGTTTAAAATCGCCCCGGGCGGCGCGTTTCTCCGCTGTGCCGGAGGGCTTTTGAAGGCAGGCGGGGGGAGCAAAGACTTTCGCCCCCCTCCCGCCTTCAGAAGAGGTCCTGGAGGTCTTCTGAAGGCAGGCGGGGGGCGAAAGTCTTTGTTCCCCCCTGCCTGCCTTCCTGTTCTCCGCTGTCCCGGAGGGCTTTTGAAGGCAGGCGGGGGGGAGCAAAGACTTTCGCCCCCCGCCTGCCTTCAGAAGAGGTCCTGGACCTCTTCTGAAGGTGGGCGGGGGGCGAAAGTCTTTGCTCCCCCCTGCCTGCCTTCCCGGGAGAGCGGAGAAACGTGCAGCCTCTCCTTGCGGAGGGGTTGCGCGCAGCTATGGAAGAAGGCAAGGCAGCGAGCGGGATGGATCCCGCTCGCTGTTTTGCCTTCCCCTTTAGCCCCGTGCAGCCTCTCCTTGCGGAGGGGTTGCGCGCAGCTATGGAAGAAGGCAAGGCAGCGAGCGGGATGGATCCCGCTCGCTGTTTTGCCTTCCCCTTTAGCCCCGCGCAGCCTCTCCTTGCGGAGGGGTTGCGCGCAGCTATGGAAGAAGGCAAGGCAGCGAGCGGGATGGATCCCGCTTGCTGTTTTGCCTTCCCCTTTAGCCCCGCGCAGCCTCTCCTTGCGGAGGGGTTGCGCGCAGCTATGGAAGAAGGCAAGGCAGCGAGCGGGATGGATCCCGCTCGCTGTTTTGCCTTCCCCTTTAGCCCCGCGCAGCCTCTCCTTGCGGAGGGGTTGCGCGCAGCTATGGAAGAAGGCAAGGCAGCGAGCAGGATGGATCCCGCTCGCTGTTTTGCCTTCCCCTTTAGCCCCGTGCAGCCTCTCCTTGCCGGGAGACACTGCGCAGGGCTTTCCTGGCTTTTCTGGGAGGTGGGGGAATTCCCCCACCTCCCGCAAAACCGGCAGAAGCCGCGTGCACTTTAAAAGGGCTGCACGGCTTCTCCTGGCTTTCCTGTCCCCGACGGCTTTTGAAGGCAGGCGTGGGGAGCAAAGACTTTCACCCCCCGCCCGCCTTCAGAAGAGGTCCTGGACCTCTTCTGAAGGCTGGCGGGGGGCAAAAGTCTTTGTCCCCCCTGCCTGCCTTCCCAGGGGCTTTTAAATCGCCCCGGACAGCGGAGAAGTCCTCCGCTGTCCCGGGGCGATTTTAAAATGCCGCCTGCCAGCATTTTAAGATCGCCCCGGACAGCGGAGAAGTCCTCCGCTGTCCCGGGGTTTTTTAAAATGCTGGGGGGTGGGTGGGAAGAAAAGCCCTTGTCCCCCCCCCCAGCCTTCAGAAGAGGTCGGGGGACAGACTGTCCCCGGACCTGGTCCGAAGTCGGTTTCCATAGGAACGCATTAATTGATTTTCAATGCGTTCCTATGGGAAACCGTGCATCGCAAGACGAAAAACTCGCAAGAAGAAAAAACTTGCGGAACGAATTAATTTCGTCTTGCGAGGCACCACTGTACACCCATCTACAGCCCACTGCCTTTTTTCCTTCTGGCAATGGCTCAATGGTAAAGACATTGTGTTCTGCTAAAGATTTCATTTCTGCTTTCATTGCATTTTTCCACCTTACTATTTCCTGGTGTGGTAACTTTAAAACTTCCTCATAATCACGAGGTTCCTTTTTCATATCAACAGTTTTAGCTTCTTGTATAGTAAACCTTTCTGGAGGTACCCCCTTATTGCTTCTTTGTGACCTTCTAACTTGAACACTCTCCCCCTCTGAACTATCTTCCCCTTCTGATTTATCCTGCTCAGGAGAAATTGGTTCAGCTTTAGGAGATTGTGTACTGGGATCCTCATCCCCTGAATCCTCATCACTGTCACTTTCAGAACTTTCTTTAATTTGTGGCTTTTCTTCCTCAGATTTCACAAATTTATTTGTATCATCAGAAGATAACACAACTTCTGAATTTCCATGTAAACGAACCCAACCATCTTGCTCACAAAACTCTGCATGTCTTGATATTACAACTCTGCCATGCCCTAGTGCAAAACGATACCCCTTTGACCAAGTTTGATAGCCAACAAACCTAAGTTTCTTTGCCTTGGGCTCTCCTTTCCTTCTCTGTCCTTTTGGGATGTGAACCCAAGCCCAGCAACCAAAAGTTTTAACATGGTCCAAAAAGGGTTTTTTCCATAAAGCAAAAAATGAGGGGTGTTGTTTATGGTAGAATGAAACAATCTGTTCTGTATGTAGTTAGCACACAGAATTCCTTCCCCCCAATACTTTCTGGATAGGCCAGAATCACATAGCATTGAATCTAGCATTGTTTGTAAAGATCTTATCTTGCGTTCTGCAACTGAATTTTCTTCAGGTGAAAAAGGACACGATTTACGGTGACAAATACCACGCTTTTTCAACCAAACTTGGAGGGCTTCAGACATGAACTCGCCTCCACGGTCACTTTGCAACTGGGTAACTTTGTAGGGAAACTGCCTTTCTATATAGTTGACCCAATTCTTAATCAGTTGACCAGTTTCACTTTTGTGTTTTAACAAATATACCCAAGTATACCTGCTATAATCATCCACAAGAACCAAAAAAAACTTTGCTCCTCCTTCAGACTCTGCAAATGGCCCACAAAGGTCTGAATGTACTAAAGCAAATGGCCTCTTGCTAATTCTAGTACTTTCAGGATAAGACCCTCGCTTACTTTTAGACTCCTTGCAGGTATTGCAGTCTAGAAAAACTGAACATTTTTTCATTTTAATTCCCTTGCTTAATTCTGGCATTTTTGCAATACTGCGGAAATTGGCATGCCCCAAACGATGATGCCACAGATGCTGGCACTCATCATGCAAGGCTCTATTACAGGCTTTAACACATGCCCCAGACTCACTTACTAGCTGGTCTTTCAAAACAAACAAACCATTTTGTAGTGACGCTGTAACCACTTTTCCAGCTTTCTCTATTCTACAGCCTGAACCAGAAAAGGTTACTTTAAATCCCTGCTTAACAAGACTTGTAACTGAAAGCAAATTATTTTCTAAACTTGGTACACATAAAACATTGGTAAACTTGGTACTTAAACAGTTGATATTCACACTACCCTTTCCAGCTGACTCATGCACTGTTCCATCAGCTAGTACTACATTTACAGATTTACAAGGCTGCTTTTCTACAAGGGTTTGTGCAGACTTGACAAAAATGTTTGTCGCTGCTGAGTCTAAAATCCAGTCTTGTCCAACGTCGTGACTGGTGCCTCGAACTGCTGCAGAAACATACTGGACTCGACTCTTCCTGTCTCCTCGCTTCCCAAACGCACAGTATTCCCACAGACACAGTGCACTGTCGTACTAAATGCTTGGTTGACCCACAACGATAGCATCTTCTGACTGTGAACGCTGCTTCCTCTCTGTGGTCTACAACCTCTTTAGGTTGCCGCTCCTCATCAGTTGCATATCTTTTACTGGACTGCCTCCCATTTCTGGAGTTACGGTGAGGGGTTGTGGCCTTCCTCTCATGGCGTCTTTCCTCCTCATCAAGCAAACGCCCAGTTAAGAAATGCATTGTTAATTGGCTTTCTGGGATTGCTTCCAGAGTCATCACTAAATTGTCCCATGACTCAGGAAGTGAAGACAGCACAATATAAACTTTTCTCTGTTCAGAAAAATGTTCCCCAAGTTCATTTAACTGTGAAAATAAACCACGCATTCTTTGAAGGTGTGTTGAAACACATTCACCCTCACTTAGTCTGGCTTGGTACAGAGCTCTCGTTAGAGTAATTTTGCTGCCAGCAGTGTCTCTAATATGTATTGCTCTCAGTGCTTGCCAAATCTCACTTGCTGTTTCAAGGTCTCGCACATGAGATAACTGAGACTTCTCTAAACTCAAAATTAAATTGGCATAGGCTTTGTCCTCCAGCCTTTGGTCTGCTTCATCTACTTCTTCATCCTCCTCTTTTACAGGAGGGTTAACAATAACAGTCCAACATTGTTCTTTCTTTAAAAACACCTGCATCTGTAAACTCCATGACATATAATTGGACTCTCCCAGTTTCTCTACTGGAAAATAGGAAGCTCCCCCTTGAGCTCCAGCTCCAAGTCCAGCCATGGCACCACCCAGCTTTCAGCTTTCCACTCAGTCCTTACTCACACGTGGCTTGAAGAAATGTTCGGCTCCTGGTCCCAAACAGACACTCCCTGCCGATGCCTTCACACAGCCAGCTGCTTGAGAAACACTGAGTTGCTTCCAGTCTCTGGGTTCTTTTCACGCTCTGTCTCTGCCCACTCAGGACTGGGGACTGGGCCCATAACCTGTTGGAGGGGGATTTCCAGCCAGTGGCAGAGGACAGAGTGACTCCAGGAGACATAGGTGTAAAAACCCAAACAAAAACGAAGACTTTATTACTAAGCAAATAAACACAAACTCTGGTGGATGTTATTCCTGCAGGCAGGCAACAAAACTCAGCTTTTTTCCTTTATAGCAACGGTCACCTGCAGCCAATTAATCCCAGAAACTTCTTAAAGGTATACACACATGTTTCTGTGCCGAATGTCCTCTAACACTGCATGGATTAGCTGAGAAGGAGGGTCTGTATGTCTAAGATTCTAGCCCCCAGTTTCTAGCCAAAGAGTGAGCTGTTTGTCCAGAAAAGGTTGACCACCCCATTCTAGAGTACTTCCCCAAAGGTGGCAGCTGGTGGTGGCTTTAAGTTGTGAGTCTGCACTCCAACGGACCATAATCAGTTGGCTATGGAGCATGGTTGCTTGGTAGCAAAACAAACTACCATTCCTAGTTCATATTACTATGAGCTGGGGGGGGGGCACACAGATAGGCTGTACGTCAGAGCTTCCCTTCTAATTCCTGGATCTAGCATGGATTCAATTGCTGGAATACCCAAGCCAGCCTGGTAATGCCCACTACGTATGGTTTGTTAAGGGAACAAAGAGAGTGACTCTGTACCAGAGGCCAAATGGGTAGGCCTCCCTCCCTCAGCTGTCTATTGTTTGGAAAGACAAAACAGAGAGTTGAGTGATATGAGCTAGAAACTGGATGCAATAGAAGTCCGGAAAGGCAGAGAGAGAGTGCCAGGCCTGATTTCTGCTAGAATCCAAGGATGTGGCTATGGGAGAAGCAAGACCCTCTTTTGGTGTTGATGCTGTGAACCCCTCCATCAAAGGCTCAGGTTGTATATGTGTGTAAATAAGCCTTATATCATAAAGACACCACAGTCTCTGCTGTGCCTCATTCCCAAAAGGAAACACAAACCCTTCGTAAGCATCTGGAACCCCCAGAATCTTGCACTGCTCAGAGTTTGGGGTGGCGTGCAACAATATGTGCAGCTAATCCAGGGATTTGTGGCGTGAGTAGGAGGAGCAACTCCTGTCCAATTTGCTTGTGCATAATTAATGCCTTACTGTGATTTGTGAACACTGCCATGAAATCGTGTTCATTGTCAGCTTTGGTTTTTTTGGACCAGCTAGTACAATAGACTGTAATTTGAACAAGCTTTTCACCAGGCAAAATTAGCCCTTGAGGCACACACAAGTGGGATGAGCTGTAACGTCTTCTTTCTAGGTTTCAGCGTACCCTGTTTCCAAACAGAACAGGCTGGCTTGTCTAATTTGTGCTCCCTTAAGAGGGAATTTGAGCTATAGCCACACACACAGCAGGTTTGACTCTCCATTGACAGCACTCTGCTTTTCTGGGTACACAGGATGGGGGGAAATTACATGGGAGTGCGCGAAAAAGTGAAGCCCCCAGAAATGTCTTCTTTACATTCCTCCAGATTCTGCTATGTTTAGAAAGGCTCTGGGGCAGAACTTGATTGCAGTATGGTCAAAACAACCCCCTAAGCATTTCAGAAAATCTCTCCCTTTTTAACAGAGTGGCAGGTCCCTGTGCTGTAAACACATAGCCTATATATTCCTTTGCTCCTTTAAAATCAAACTGAAGGTTACATGGCAACACACACACACACACACAAAAGATGCAGGAAAAGGGCTGTTGGGAATAAAAGTAATCATGCCTTACAAGAGATCAGGAAAGGGTACAAAAGAAGTTAGCTGCAATACATGTAACATGGTGTAATGACAGAAGTCGGTATAATCAGTAGTCAATATAATCATTTTATTCCATTTATCAGAATAATTTACAAATAGACATAGTGGGTGATTATTTCTTCAAAAGAAAAAGAATCAAAACACAAGCGTATGGGTAGTAGGTCTTTTGTTTGCTTGTTTGTTTCCTTAACCCTAAGATTTGCAGAATCAGAGAAATGTTTAGAAGAAAATCCCTAAGGGGGGAAGATCCAGAAAAACATACCCATTGAGTACTGAATAGAACTATTCTTACTCTCTTAGCTATATAACCTCCATGCCATACTGTTTTTAAAAAAAATTCAAGCAGCACTGTAAAGTTAAAGCAAATTGAAGAGGGTGCAACCCGTGGTAAAATGCTGGTTCTCTAAATGCAAGATGGATATGAAAATGAAGAAATGGAATGCTGTGATTGTTGCCTGGGGTGTCAATTATAAGGCTATGAATTGAAATGTTTTTGTGCATCTGTCTTTCAGGAACTAGGGAGCGTATACAGCATCCTTGCTGCCATTTTAAACGTGGGCAACATCGAATTCTCTTCCGTAGTAACCGAGTACATGATTGACAAGAGCATCATTTCCAATCCAACGCCTCTGGAGAACTGTGAGTTTTCTTTCCTTTTTATAATAATTAAATGCCTTTTGTGAACTGTCTCCATAATTATGAGCTCCAGACTTATCTGCATATTGCAGAAAGCTTACCTCATTGCTTGAAAAGCTCTACACAGCCTGGGCCCGGCCTCTTAACAAACGTCGCATGTTTTTAAAGCAGCTAATGGGGCTGGGATGGCCTGTTTTTTCATAGAATCATAAAATTGTAGAGTTGGAAGGGACCGTGAGGGTCATCTAGTCCAACCCCCTGCAATACATAAATATTTTGCCCAACATGGGGCTTGAACCCATGAGCCTGAGATTAAGAGTCTCATGCTTTACCAACTGAGCTAAGCTCAGTGTCTCCCACAACAGGCCACATGAATTTTTTGAAAGCCTAGACCAGTGTTTTTGGCCTACAGCTCCCATCACCCCTAGCTAAGCAGGACCAGTGGTCAGGGATTATAGGAATTGAAGTCCAAAAACAGCTGGAGACCCAAGTTTAGGAAACACTGGTCTAGAGTTTGAGTAGGGACTTTCCTCCTGTGACCCTCAACCTTGAGTTTATTTCCTGAGATGAATAGCTGCAGCACTGGGGGACTGGAGAAGATCTTTCATGGGGCTGAGTACCTGAGCATCTGGGTGATTAGTTTTTTTGCTTTGGGGACAGCTGAGGTCCCTTGTAAGTGTGGTAAGGAATGGGACCCTCTGCCTGGTCCATAGTCCAGAGAGAAGCTGCACTCAATCTTGCAGCCTCTTGCTCCAGCTCCTTGCTGGGTCAGGGAGCATAGAAACCCTGCAGCCCTTTGCTGGCAGAGTCTACACAACAGGGGTGACACCATAGAGTTTCATCTCTTCAGAAGTCCCAACAGTGAGAACACTACCCTCTTCTATTCCCCCCCCCCACGAACCTGGAGGAGGTTAGATAGTGGGAGGGCCTAAGGTGCATGTCTGGTTTCCTGCACAGGGTGAGAGCCTGTGCAACAAATAAAGACACCAGATGCCTTCAGAGTGAGAGTCTGGAACTGACAGAAGGCTGGTCCTCCCTTGGTGTGAGAGAGTGGGGGAGTAGATGCGCTCTAGTATGATAGTAACTTGGTGAGCTCTGGGACTTTAGTAACACTGTTCCCAGTTCTGTCAGGTGCCTTCTGGGATGATTAGTTGTGGCTGATTTTGTTGGTGTGCTGCTGTTGTTTGCACAATGTGTTTGGGAAGCATTTGGGGAAGGAGGGACATGGGTTAGGCTACCCCAGATTCAGTGATCATGGATAAAGGAAGATTTAGCCATTGGGAAGTCATATCATGAGGACAAGGCTATAAAACTGGCAGGGACCCTATACAGCACCCTTTATTGGCCCAGATTGCATGAAGCCAAAAGAACTCAATAGCCCTTACAGAAGAATGCAAATAATGAAAAGCACAGGTGAAATCAAGCCCTGCCTTATTTAAAGCCTCAAACAGCCAAATGCAATTGCATCGTGCAAATTACAAATACGCAGTTGCAAAACGCATAGACTCCTTATGTATATTTGTAAGGAACACACGTCTACCTCTTTGCTGGTGTATTTTCCCCTCTGTTTTGATCTTCTTGCAGAGCAAGGAGCTGCAGTATTCATACTTTGCACAACATCAAAGCCCTTTTCCTTCTCAGCTACTTCCCACTGTACAGTTGGTGGGCAGAAGGAGACCCAGGGTGCTTAATGAAATGCATGTGGTATCCAGTCTGTGGTCCACCTGTTGTAGGGAGCTTTTACATATAAAATTAAGAAATGTTTGATACATTATGGACGTGACACCATTCCTCCGTTTTCCAGCCGCATCTTTGCTGTGTATACAGGCAGATGAACTGCAAGAAGCTCTGACCTCTCATTGTGTGGTGGCCCGAGGGGAAACTATTATACGGCCCAACACGATGGAAAAAGCTTTCGATGTAAGAGACGCCACAGCCAAAGCCTTGTACGGGCGTCTCTTTAGTTGGATAGTCAACCGCATCAATGCGCTGCTCAAGCCAGGTACATTTTTAAGGTAAGGGTTTTTTCTTTCTCGTAAGAAACAGAACCTTGTTTTGATGTGAAATGCATAGTGTCTGGAATGTCCTGAGACCCCAGTCATCCAGACCAGAAATTTCAAATGGAATACAATACCAATTTCACTAGCTATTCCCAAACCCAACTTTTAAGATATTCTATTCTAAACCCTTGCAAACAGAGCAAGAACAAGACAAGAGTGAACAGTTTATTTGTAGTTGTGCTTCTCAGCAGCACAAACATGTCTCTCTTAGCCACATCCCTTGCCTCATGTCTCCCTTAGGTTTAAATTTACAGTTTGGGCTCACTCCACCACTCCATGCATATAGAAGCCTCACCTCTTCCTTTCTGCATTCCAGTATGCAAGTATAAGGTCTGATTTACGCATTGCAAGGAGCCTGTGATATGCACTGGCCATGGCTTCTGTGTGTGGTAGCTTATGCTTGCAGCAGGGTGAAAAGAAGAGCTCACCATGTGGATTGGCTGTCAGCTGGTGTTTCTGGCAGCTGCTGCCAAAGGTGTGAAAACTGACCGTGTGATCAGAGTGATCCATGCAGTGCTATTTTGTGTGTTGCAGCAGCTGCAGTGAAAGCAGTTTCAATCTGCCTTCATGTGCCATTCATGATAAATCTGCCCTGAGAATTCACTACAGGTTGCTATCTTAGGTTCAGACATTTGCCTGGGTAGTGATAACATTTGCATAGTGCACAAACAGATGTGCTCCTTCCTCTCCACCTTGCAGAAAATGGACCAAGCCAATGTAATGTAGCAGCAGACCCTGGACTAGTTTTCACCTTTCATCAGGTCTTGACCTATAATGGCTAATAAAAAGGCTTCTGGGCTTTTAACAAAGGTTATTTTAAACATCTTTTTCATTTCATTATATATCATTTCCCAATATTTCTTGATTATTTTACAATTCCACCACATATGTAAAAACATACCCTCTTTTTCTTTACACTTCCAACATTTTTAGAGCCTGTTTTATACATTTTTGCCATTGTTACAGGTGTAATATACCATCTATACATCATCTTCATATAATTATCTTTTAACAGTATGCAATCAGTAAATTTTAAATTAGATTTCCATAATTTTTCCCAATCTCCCATTTGTATATTGTGTGTCCCAGGTCTTGTGCCCATTTTATCATCACACTTTTGACTTCCTCGTCTTTAGTTTCCCACTCTAATAGTAACTTGCATGCTTTCCTTAGGAGTTTTGTATTATCTTCAATGATTTCACTTTGGAATCTAGATAAAGTATAGCTTAATCCTTTCTTTTTATCTTCTTTAAATGCCACGTTTAATTGTAAGTATTGAAGCCAATCTCTTACATATATTTTAAGCAAGGGGATTTTGTCCTTATTCAGCCGGGATACATTGCTGTAGAGCAAGATGCCTTTGTAAATTCAGATTTGCAATGCAAATTAACCCACGGGATATGCAAATACTTGTGCCTTCTATGAACACTCTTTGCCCAGGAGCAAGGACTGGCTGATCTTGTGGCCACTCTTACATTCAGAAATAACGGGTTTGTAGTTAGACATTCGGTCTCTGGCTGACTCTCCTTGGCACACAGCACATTAGACTCTGTCAACATCTCAAACTGGAGGAGACCCTGCCCAGTTGCTGACTCCCAACCGTGATAAACCAAACATGTAATAGTTATGTTTTTGAAGGAGCTGCGGGGTTGAAGCTGATGTGAAATAACCAAACGGCGCTGGAGAATCTAATGTGCAAATTCTGTACATTTCAGCGGAAATGACGAAGGGCTGAACATTGGGATTCTTGACATCTTTGGTTTTGAAAACTTCAAAAAGAATTCGTTTGAACAGCTCTGCATCAACATTGCCAATGAGCAGATCCAGTTCTACTTCAACCAACATGTCTTTGCATGGGAGCAGGTGGGTGCTATAATTTGTGTGTCTGTGTTGTGTTTGTTTATTTTAAGTGTTTTATGCTGCTTTTTTAAAAAAAAAACCCAGCTCAAAGCATCGTACAAAACCAAAAGAGTTGGTCAGTTTTTTAAATCGCATAAAGACAACACTGAAATGACAGCATCAAATTGCCTATTGAATTATTGGGCCACTCAAAAAACCAGGAGGAAAAAAGATGCATTTGCTAAAGGCAAACACAGAGGTAGGACTCCCAGTCAGCTTACCTTTTACTCATCCATTGAAATCAGTGAACATGACTACATTAGGTCCATTAACTTCACTAGGTCTAACTTCAAGTAAAACTAGTTGAATGCCACCTCAAGTGTTTGAACCAACACCTTTTGCACACTGACAGGGAGAGCGCCTCTCAGCTAATGCATCCCTCAGCCCCATGCTTAATGAGCGTACTAATCTATGTGCATAGGACTCCTTCTCACACATCCTGAATGTACAACAAGCGCAAAGAATATGGTGGAGGCGAGGCATGCCAACTCCTAGAGGCGGAGGTGTCTTTGACCCCCTCCATATTGGCTGGCAGAGGGCCGGGCCCCCTCAATGTTGAGGTGGCGGAGGAGGCTGAGGGCGGAGCCAAGCGAGGCACAGTTCAGTGGCTGGCTCCTCCTGAGCGCAAGAGAGGAAACCACACTGCACTCAGCCTCCTCCTGACGATGCATGTGCAACACATGTCAGGCCCCCCAAGGTGCATGACCCTCTGGTGGAAGCAGGGCTGACAAGTGTGACCAAGCACACCTTTATCTCCCCTGCTTGGGAGGTGTTTAAGGACATAAGGAGAACCAAAGGCCTCTCTTTTACCCAGCATCCTCTTCTCACAGTGGCCAACCAGATGCTCATGGGAAGCCACTGACCAGAAACCAAGGGCAGCCCCACTCTCTCCACCTGTGATTCCCAACAACTGGTATTCACAGGCATGCAACCTCCAGCAATAGAAGCATGAGAAGTCATCATGGCTTGTAACTATGGATAGCTTTACCGTTACCAAATTTGTCTAACCCTCTTTCAAAGCCACCCAAGTTGGTGGCCACCGCTACTTCTGAGAGTGAATTTCATAGTTTAACTATTTGTGTGTTCGGACCAAGAAACCTCCCCCTAAATAAATTCACACTTGACTCAAAATTTTGGTTTTGGTTTTTGGCAGAATTTAGAACCCAACTTTATTGATTACAGCTATTAACTGTTTGCATAGGCTCTGGTTCGACTAGCTCCCTGCCATGCAGGTAGCGCTGACCCAGGGTTCCAGCATAGGTCAGCCAAGGGTGAACACCTGGATAAGCAGAAAGCTGGGAACGGGCTAACTCCACCACGCAAATGTCCTCCTAGACTCAGCATGGGCACAACCCTTCTCAGGGGTTGACCAAACCATCGAGTCCCCTGGATTCCTTTAACAGAATATCCTTCACAAAGGGATGGCGAGAGTGTTCTCCCATCCCTATCACCTGACAGAGCCTATCCACTACCTTACAAGTTGTGATGATTTGCTACGCAGCGGGCGAAACCCAAATGGCAAGAGCCAATCAGCCAAGTGGGGAAAATTCCTGCTGTGCCCCTGTCCCAATGACAGACAACACACGACAGCATAGCAAGGTCAAGCGCAAAGCCTTAAAAGTAGGGAGAGGTGGGCGAGTGTTCCGAAGGCACACGCCGAAAATTGAAGCTCTGGGTCACATGCATGGGCATAAATAGGTCCCTCGAACCATTTGGACTGCGTCCCATTGGCCAGATTGTACCCAGCTTCGAGGGACCTACCAATCGGGTGTTGTGGCTGACCAATCGTACCCACCCACAACACAGGGTGTCGGTTTTCCAGGTCTCACTGCAATTTTGTCTATACCACTAATTTTTAAGGATAAGGTCATTCTACATGTAAAAAGAGCATTTAGCGCAAAGGCTAAAAGGTTGTGGGTGGGCGTGGTGAAAATGAACTTGGTAATTTTGAACCCATATCCAATTTTATCTAGGAAAAGTTACCTACAACTTCTGTTGGAGAGGCAATGAAAAACCAAAGACTGTAAAATGCTTTGTTTATAATACATTCTATGCAGAACTGTATGATTGCTTTCTGCAATTTAAATGTCCGTCTAAAACTACATTAGGCTTCCCATTTACAGTATCCAGGCAACAGAACACAGTGATAATAGGTTTGGTGCAATTGCTATGTTGTTTTCATGAGGAATAAGGTGTACTGTGTGATTTATGGTTCAGCAGCAGAATTATTTTTTTTTAATGAATATCATACAGAGCAGCTCTTTAAAAACCTGGAACTTTTATAATCATTTGCCAACAAGCATATTAACCATGAATATTCTGTGGGGGAGAGAAATGACAATTTGCTTTTATTTCAGTTTTGAAATTTACTGCAATTCAAAAGGTGGGGTGGGGTTAGTCTGACTGTACAGTTTAATCTGATTTTTTAAGACGGATGCCAAATGAGATAGTGCAATTACCAAAATGCTAATGAACTTGAAGGGTCAGTGAACAGACTTCAGGAGCTTATTAAAAGGGTGAAAAATGAATATTTAACAGTTTAAAATGGCAGTGGGGTATTTGTTTAGGAAAAGATTCCCCAGTCAAGGAAAGAGCAAATGTTACAGAAACTGCTGACTATAAGCCTCCATCTAGTAAACTCCTTCTTTTATTATGCCTCCCCCAAGACTGTCAGTATCTTGTGGGAGGGATTCAAGAGCATACCGGGGAAAGCTGGGTTTGTGCCATTGAGGTGGATTAAAGCACTCTGTTGCCGCAGCACAACAAATCCGCTTTTGCAAAGAAATTGACTTTTTTGCGGTTAGGAAAATGGCAGTGGAATGCACCGGAACACGTAGGGTGAAAAAATGAGAAGATCCTCAAGCAAATCAGGATGGGTGCTTGTCATGGGACAGTTGCTATATGGCAAGCATCTCAGTTGTTGAGCTCTGGCCCTGCTTACATTCTTCCCACAAGCAAGCCAGGCTGAATGCTTTAAAAGGTTCATCTGCAAGAACCTTAAATTTAGATATTCCCAAACTCTTAATATGAGATCTTAGCAGCCTGAATCAGGAGACTTGGAGAGCATTTGGGGGAGGGGTTGTGGAGGAAGAAGAGGAAGGAAAGGACCCCTTTACTGCCTACCTGAAAATTGCCTCCACTGTGCTGTAGATTTGGAGCTTGCTCTCTGCTCTGAACCAAAGTGCAGCTTAATTGCCATATAAGGTAAAGGTAAAGGTACCCCTGCCCGTACGGGCCAGTCTTGACAGACTCTAGGGTTGTGCACCCATCTCACTCAAGAGGCCGGGGGCCAGCGCTGTCCAGAGACACTTCCGGGTCACGTGGCCAGCGTGACGAAGCTGCATCTGGCGAGCCAGCGCAGCACACGGAAACGCCATTTACCTTCCCGCTAGTAAGCGGTCCCTATTTATCTACTTGCACCCGGGAGTGCTTTCGAACTGCTAGGTTGGCAGGCACTGGGACCGAACAACGGGAGCGCACCCCGCCGCGGTGATTCGAACTGCCGACCTTTCGATCGGCAAGCCCTAGGTGCTGAGGCTTTTACCCACAGGGCCACCCGCTCCCTTCAATTGCCATATAGAGGGTACCTTTTCTACTCCCCAGAAGTCTCCCTTTATAGTGGAAGAAGGAGAGATGCTATTCTTTCCCTCCACCCCTCCCCCACTTCATATCATGCATCCTGCCATTTCAAGGGTGGCTTAGTAAAAAGTCTTCTCCGTTTCATACCACAAGAATAAGTGAGGGGAAAACAGCTCTCACCTGGAAGAATGGGCTTTTACAGTGCCAAGTGAGGTAATAAATAGGCTTGTCCCTTTGGAATACACTATAATCTAAAATAACTCCTTTAACTGCACTTTGAATAAGTGGTTTCCAGATGGCTACTCGGCTGCTTAATGTGTCTTTTGCTTTAGAGGCAGAATATATTTATATTTGTAAAATGCACTTAACCCACGTAACACATATCATTATAACCAAGAGAAGGAGACTATTAACCTGAATGGCTCGGATACAAGCTATTTGCTGTAGCTGCTTTTGCTGTAGCTGCTTTTGCACTGGTCACTTAATGTAACAGCTCCTATGTGTATAACTGGACAAATCATATATATATATATAGAGAGAGAGAGAGAGAGAGAGAGAGAGAGAGATTAAACCACTATTTATGAATTCTCAGTCAGCTTTTGTATGACAAAAGCACAGTCCCTCCACTGATGTGACATCCTGACAGGAAATGGCCACCACGCAATAACCTCCCATCTTCATTAAGTCTCTGGCTTATAAGTCTCTGGCTTATAAATCATTAAGTCTCTGGCTTATAAGTCTGGCTTATAAGTCATTAAGTCTCTGGCATATAAACTAACTGGACAAATCATAGTGGCTATGACAACCTATCACATATTTGGAGATACCACCCATAGTTCAGTCGGAAAAGCAGGAGACTCTTAATCTGAGTCATACGTTCAAGCCCCACGCTGGGCAAAAGATTCCTGCATTGCAGAGGGTTGGACTAGATGACCCTAGCAGTCCCTTTCAACTCTTGTTGTTGTTGTTTAGTCGTTTAGTCGTGTCCGACTCTTCGTGACCCCATGGACCAGAGCACACCAGGCACTCCTGTCTTCCACTGCCTCCCACAGTTTGGTCAAACTCTACATTTTTATAATTTCAGCTCTACAGTTCTACAATTCTAATTAACCACTTACCCTTCAGCAAAGTTTCCAAAGAGGTTTACAAGGAAAAAAACAAAAAAACCAACAAGATAGAATATATTGCTAAAATATAATGAAAATTGGCACTTATCCTGCTAATTGGAGCAAAAACGCCAATTTCAGCCCATTGAGAAAACACTGGGGAATCACCAGCCACCACAAATCACATAAACCAGCTCCCCCTCAATGTACTCCTCTACAGCTTTACTCTAAGAGGCAGGTATTAGCCTTACCTACACCTTTAGTGCTCAATGATGCTGCTTTTGGTAATCTTGATGGAGAAGCCAGAGACTTAATGAAGATGGGAGGTTATTGCGTGGTGGCCATTTCCTGTCAGGATGTCACATCAGTGGAGGGACTGTGCTTTTGTCATACAAAAGCTGACTGAGAATTCATAAATAGTGGTTTAATCTCTCTCTCTCTCTCTCTCTCTCTCTCTCTCTCTCACACACACACACACACACACACACACACCTGCATTTTCAGCCCTGTCAACCTGTCTACTTTTCACAAGAATTGACTATTTTAGGAACAGCTTTTATCAGCACGACACAGAAGTGTTTGTTCTGGTGCATGTGAGGATCATGGCGATGTTTTAGCCAGAATCATGTCTGTAGGTTTAAAAATACTTAGTGTGGAGATTTGGGGTCATAAAAATGCCTTTGATGGGAAACAGGGTTTTTAGTTTTCCCCAAACCGAAGCAGAGGATGAATGATTTGCTGCAGAACAGATTTATTTCTTGGGGGGGGGGTTGACAGCTAACCTAAAAGCACCGACTCCCTTCTATGTTCTTCATTTACATGAAGCACTTTGCAGCAAAGCACATTTTGTCCTCTGTTGCAGAATGAATACCTGTACGAAGGCGTTGATGCACGAGTCATTGAGTATGAAGACAACAGGCCCCTGTTAGATATGTTCCTGCAAAAACCAATGGGATTATTGTCCTTGCTTGATGAGGAAAGCCGGTTTCCTCGCGCCACTGATCAGACGCTTGTGGGTAAGCCGTTTGCAGCTTGTACTTAAAGGTGCGCTGGTATTAACAGTCCAAGTTAAAGAGCATTTCCTTGTGTTTTCATATTCCGTTGTCAAAGGGTTCCAGGTTCAATCCCTGCTATCTCCAACTAGGGGTGGGGAAAACTTCAGTCTCAACCTCTGGACAACCACTGCCAATCAGAGTAGACCAAAGGGTGCCAGTGGAAATTCTGTGTCTCATTTATTTATTTATTTTAATGGATCCCCTTATATGGGATTTGTATATAAATTTTCCCTCGCTGGGAAAAATCCATGTAGCGCAAGCATGGATAGTTGGAGAATATTTGACATTTTCTCCCCTTATGGCTTTGATCTATAGGCTACCACTAAAGCGAGGCTGCATTTTAAACTGTATTCTAACTTATGTTTTAATCAACTGTTTTTGTGTGTGTGTGTGTTTTTGGGGGTTTTGTTTTTGTTTTTAATGTTTTTACTGTATTTATATTCAGTGTTAGCTGCCCTGAGCCCTGTCTTGGCCTGGGAGGGCGGGGTATAAATAAAAAATTATTGTTATTCATTATTATTATTGTGCCTTTGGGAAGAACGAGCATAGACTCCTTCAGACTAACTAGCTCAGTGTTGTCTATGGCAGGGGTGAGTTACATGCAGTGGTGCAGCCAGGTAATTTTAGACCCTGCAGTTAATGGTCTTATGCCCACCACTACTAGTTGGCCATTTGTAGTACATCAATTGAGAAGAAACCACCAAAACAGTATTAGAAGTTTTTATGGAAGCATCTGCACATGCCTATTCATTTGCAGATGGAGAAGGAATAGGTGGTGGAAAGCAACCATGGGCGTAAGTGCATTTATGTTATTCCCTTAGAAGAAAACCTGTGTGTTTCCCTTACAGAAAAATTTGAAGACAACCTGAAATCAAAATATTTCTGGAGACCAAAAAGAATAGACTTGACGTTTGGGATTTACCATTATGCAGGGAAGGTAAAATTATTTGTTTGGTTTATAAAAATAATTTTTAGGCTACTTATCAAAGCAGAATTCTTCCAAAGCAGGTTATAGAACACTATCAAATTGCATAATTTCAATAACATATCATGATACTTGTTTACTTTCTGGCATATAATAATTGGTTCAGAATAATCATTTATATTCTTCCCAATAAATAGAAAAAAGTTTTGCTGGGAGAGAAATCCTCCAGTATCACAGCCCAAAAACAAACAGTCATGGCATCCTTTTGCTGTTTAAGGCATGCATACGCAATGCAACTGTAAAAACAAAGGAATGGAATACAAATTTGGAAACTACCTGAAGCAGCGCCTCACTCACTAACAGACCCATTGTAGGCATGTTAGGGTTTTTGGGTCAGAAGTAACTGATGATCACTTGGTGGGTGAGGTAGCTTGGTGGGTGTGGTCTGATTACAGCCTGAGGCCCAGTTCATATATCACCAGTAGCCAAGCATGTGGTGAGGCAGACATGCCCTCCTAACACCAGCATCACTGCAGCATACCCAAGCAGAACTGGGATGAGGCAGGCTGGTGTGAATGTCAGGGGCACATGAGCACATTGGCAGGAGTGTTGGGTGGGTGGTAGAGCTCCAGTTTTGACCATGCCACCACCCTGTTCACAACCCCATACAGGTAAGCAGCAAGGACGGGATCAGGAGAACAGCTCAGCATCTCCACACTACCACCACTGCTGTAGATTGTTACCACTTTGTAGCTTTTAATGAATGGTTTGAAATTGGAACCAGTAGGCCTAATGCATGGAAGTATTGGTCAATGTAAGGAAATTTGCTGTATAACTTTTGCCGTCCTTTTTTTTTTTTTTAAAAAAAAGGTTCTTTATAACGCAAGTGGATTCTTGAACAAAAACCGAGATACTTTGCCAGCTGATATTGTACTGCTCTTGCGATCCTCGGAAAACTATTTGACTCGGCAGCTGGTAATCCACCCTCTTACAAAAACAGGTAATGTGTCTTACAGTACTAATGCTACCCTTTGACAGGTCCAGTGTTAGGTGCTGCCTGCCTTTGAGTTCACAACTGGGCTAGCATCTCCATTACCATGGAGGGAAGCAGGCGTTTGCCACGGTACTGAGCGCCACAGGAAAGGAGCAGCAGAATGAAGGCTACGCAGCGGATGTGTTGCCCTCATCCAGGAAACATTCCCTACAAGCCGTCCTTCCACATGTCCTACCCTCTGGGAACTCTTTCCACACAGTTCGGTCTGCTGCAGAACTCCTGTGCCTCAGGTGTTGCACTTCTGTGGGTTTCAGAGACTAGGAACCGAGAAAGCTACCTTACACTGAGTCAGATCATTGGTCCATATAGCTTGCTATTGTCTACACTGACTGGCAGCCACTCTCCAGGGTTTATAGCAGGTGTCTCTGGCATACCTACTTAGAGATGTCAAGAGTTCAGCCTTTGAACTCTTCTGCACAAAGCAGCTGAGCTGAAAAGTCATGAGGGAATGATTTATTTGCTTAACGTCCAGTAAAAAAAAATGTAAGTGCAACTCTACGCCCCTACTCTTGTGTAGCAGTATGTTGCAGGGGAAATTGGCTGTAGTATAATGAAGGAAGGACTCAAAAGAAAAAATATGAACTCTTTGTTTGACATTCTTTTGTTTTGTTAATATATTTTTTTCCATTTTGCAATATTCAGCAATGAATATAAATCTACACAAATCAAAAATATTTACTGCGACTTCCCTCCCTCTCCTTCTGCAGTTTCTTATTTTCATACTGCATATCCAAATTTATCCTTTTTACAAATCTATCCTTTATAATTCCTATAAATTTCTTACTGCTCTTGTTTATATCAATCCTGCTAACATTTTTAATTGTTTCCAACTTGTTTCCATGTATTCAATTTCCCCCATTCTGTTACAAAAAGTCTATTATCTTGATCTCTTAATCTTCCAGTAAGTTTCACCATCTCTGCGAATTCCATCAGTTTTAATTGCCAATGGTCTCTTTTGGGGGTCAAATCCTCCTTCCAGTTTTGGGCATATATCATTTGGGCAGCCGTGGTTGGATACATAAATAGTTTATTCTGGCCTTTCGGCACCTCTTCTCCAAGTATACCTAGAAGAAAAGCTTCTAATTTTTTAAAACAAAGGTTATTTTCAACATGATTTTCAATCCATTATGGATCATTTCCCAGAAGACTTTTGCAGTCTTACAGGACCATATGTGGTACCACATATGAAGAAAGATACCTTCTTTCTCTTTACATTTGACATTCTCTCAGGCTCCAGTTGCACCCTCTGCCACCCCCCAAGGATGCATAGTGCTTGGTTCATGTTTATTATCCACCAACCACATATATAAGTAAACCAGCAGTGACCACTCACCAGTCATGATGTGGGCAGCTTTTGTGACCCAGTGCTGGCTCCCGTGACCCAGGGGGTCACGCCACCCCTGGGCTGTCGCCGTAGGCTATGGGTCATCCAGGTGACCTGCACCACCAGCCAATCGGCTGCAGCCCCGGGGGCGGAGCTGAGACCAGAAAAGGAAGCTGCCGGCAATGCTGGCCAGCCATTCTGGTCATATTTGTCACTGCTCACCTCAAATATGGCATGAGAATATGAAAAATGCAAATTATGCTTATGCACTATTTGTCAATTATTTCAGCAGCCAGCACATAATTAGTTTTCCCACAAGTGTATATGGTTTGTTCCCCCCCCCCCCCAGTACCCAACTGCAATATTAATTTATATTTAAATTCTGCATAATTGAAGCCACTTCTGGAATTGTAATGAGGAAGTTGCTTTATGGAAGGCATTTGGGATTAGAATTTTTTATAGTCAAGGGTTTTAAAAAATCTTGGTGCAAATGCTCTAAACTGGGTGCATCAAGTCCCCACAGATCACATAGTAAGCAGACTAGGCCCTGCTAGTCCACATTGCCCTGTCTGAGTTGCAGGACACCGTAGTCCACACAAAGAAGAAAGTTTAGCAGAAGCCTGCTCAGCTGTCCATCAGGAGGCAGGCAACGGCGCAGCTGGGGTTTGGCTCTGGGACCAGGTGGGGGCCTGTCAATAGAGTTGCAGGGGATGGAGGCAGTCGTTGTGTAGTTGTTTGAATGTCAGACTAAGATCTGGGCGACTAGCTTTTCAAATCCCCACTCAGCCATGAAGCTCACTGTGTGATCTTGGGCCGACCGCTGTCTCTCAGCCTTACCTACCTCACAGGGTTATTATGGGGATCAACCAAGGAGGGGGAGAGAACCATGTATGCCACCTCAAGCTCCTTGGAGAAAAAAGTCGGATATAAATGCAAAACATAAAAATAAACACTTTATAAGGGCATTTAAAATGCTCATTAATATAGCCTCCCTCTTTGCTTCCTGCACCAGCGTGGGCAATGCACTCTAAGACTTGTTCCTCGTTTATATTAGAGCTTGGTAGGCCATCATAAAATTCTCTTCTCTAAGGTAGTGCAGTTCCACAAAAGGCGAGGGTGATAAGGGGGGCAGCTCGGGTGTCTGTAATCACATCAATAAGATTTGGAGAATAAATGTAAATGCCAAGTATTCATTATCTTCTCTCTTCGCAAGCAAAAGGGAAACGAGGAATGTGCTTGTGGCTTGTGGCTCATTGAAAGCTACATGTATTATGTTTTTAAAATTTTTATTTTTGTATTTTCTATTTTATATAAACAAGTGAATTAAAAAATAAATAAACATATACAGTAGTCGCCTTTGACTTCCCTCCCCCCATTGTGGATCTTAATATAATGATTTTCACCTCTGCCTCACTTTCGTAACTATTCTTATAAATCCTTTATCATTCCATAGTTCAAATTTTTGATACAAGTTTTCTGTCAATCCTACCAATGTGTGCAATTGTTTCCAATAGTTTTTCAAATAAATTATAAACTTTCCCCATTCTTTATTAAAGACCTCCTCTTCCTGGTTTCTTATTCTTCCTGTAAGTTTTGCCATCTCAGCATAGTTCCATTTCTGGACTAACAGAATCTGCACAGCCGTGCTTGCATACATAAAAAGTTTCATCTGGTCTATAAATTTGTTAATAATAATCATACATGGAGGGCAGACTTCAATCTTACGGAATTTACTGTGTTATTGTCAGTGCTTTTTTTCTGGGGGAGGGACACATACCCCTAAACATTTTGTGAATCTAAGTTTGGCCTCATTGAGGGGCAGTATTTCAGTATGAGTAGGAAAATGAGAGCACCCCTAAACATTTTTTGGGGGGGGCAACTGGTTATTGTTGTTTTTTTACTAGAGCCCTGAGATCCACCCAGGGGCAAAATACATTCACTTGGAACTTAAGCAGATGCTGAACACAGGGATTTCTTCTGAGTACAGTGGTACCTCTGGTTACGTACTTAATTTGTTCCGGAGGTCCATTCTTAACCTGAAACTGTTCTTAACCTGAAGCACCACTTTAGCTAATGGGGCCTCCTGCTGCCGCCGTGCGATTTCTGTTCTTATCCTTAACCCGAGGTACTATTTCTGGGTTAGCGGAGTCTGTAACCCGAAGCATATGTAACCTGAAGCGTATGTAACCTGAGGTACCATTATACCAGAACTGAGCTGAACGTACCCTCGTTCCACCCAGAAAGCTATTCCTGGTTGCTCCAAACTCAGAAGCAGCTTGCCCAGTTGGGTGGAAACGCAATGCTAGCTTCCTGGGAGCAGTGTCACTGCTGTTCATCAGAGGGAGGGGGGCAAGGAGGTTTGCACAGTGCAGGTGCACCAGTGGAAACAATTTGTCACTCCTGCTGGTGCACCCACACGCTCCTGATCTCCCTGCTCCCTCAGCCCTTTCCTTCCAGTAAACAACACCATTGCCGGGAAGGGTGTGTTGAGGCTCTGACCTCCTGGGTGTGCGACCTCTGCACAAGCTTTTTCCACTTCATCAGTCATAGGGGGAGGTAGTCGTTCTGCCACGGCTATTGTCAAACAGCTGGGAGTCAGAAATCTTTTGGATCAATTGCAAGTCTCCCAGAGTTATCCCAGTAGACCAACCTTCTGCTCATCCCTGGACTAATATCTAGAGGGGTGGAACATCTTGAGTAAGGTGCCTTCTTTCTTCTCTTAGGTAACTTGGCACATACGAAAACCAAGAGTGCGATAAACTACCAGACATGGACGCCACAGAAATCAATCAGCCAAACTAAGGTAAGGAAACCGCATGGGCAGCCGCCTGGACCCATCTATTGAAGTCGAGAGGGGCAATGTTGTTGTTGTTGCTACTAAAACAAAAACAAAAAAAGTAAGCAAGTAACCCCTTCCTTGGTTTCTCTCCCTCTCTCTTTATCTCTCCTGTTTTCTTTTCTGTTTAGCTGGATTTCTTTGTGTTGTGCAATTCGTATTCCTTCCGTGAGGTAACAAACCTACATTTCCCTTCTTTCTGACTATAGTTTTATAACTACTTCAGGGAAAGCTAAATTAATTCTCTGCTGTCACTGTCCTTAGCACTCATCCCTAAGCCTGCTTCCTTGCAAGTATGTTTTCTGGACTACACTGAAGTCTTAATTCCAAGTAAATGTGTTCCTGATTGGTATGTTTTTTAAAAAATGAGAGCACACCAAGGTTCTGGCTGTGGGGTTAATCAGGCTCTGTTGAAAACAACCATTGAGACAAGGGTACAGAATTATTATTTGCAGGATGTTAACAGTCCTAATCTTTTTAAAAAAAGAAAGAGAGAAATCTAGACAAACCATTTTTCCTGCAAATGCCATTTGCAACAGATATCTATCTGTATGTTCAGTTATCAAACTGTGTTCAGTATATGTGTGTGTTTCTGCATGTGTGTACAGTGTGATAAAGTATTGTAATGTTTTTAGTGTAATAACCTCTGACTTTCCTAGTGATTACTCAGTAGCATCTGCAGCATAGGATGACTATTTTTTATTATTAATAGTGTTCTTTAAGAGGACACTTTGTTGAACTGGTGCAATAAGCTTCAGACATTGTATAGATAAGAGGTGCTATTTTCTTTCTTGATACATATAGAGTGAGCCAGAGGATTCCACGCATCATCCGAGGGAAACAACCAATATGAAAACGCAGACAGTTGCTTCATATTTCAGAGTAAGCTTTAGCTGTTATTCTTCCTCTTAATATATATGATTTATGCAGCAGCCAGCCTATAGATGCAATAGTTCTATTTCTCCTTAGGGATAAGATAATTCACTTGGAACTTGAAAGCTTTTAGGCTAGCATTAGAATATCTAAAGCAGGGGTGGGAAACCTGTCCCTTTCCAGATTCTGTTGGACTCTAACTCCCATCAGGCCAAGCCAGCATGACCAGTATGTAGTGGGGGGGGGTGAATCTGGAGGGCCACAGGTTCTCCTCTGAGGAAAAACACTTCAGTGCACCCTGGTTCACTCAAGCCAGTGTGGTGTAGTGGTTAAGAGTGGTAGACTTGTAATCTGGGGAACCGGGTTCGCGTCTCCGCTCCTCCACATGCAGCTGCTGGGTGACCTTGGGCCAGTCACACTTCTTTGAAGTCTCTCAGCCCCACTCACCTCACAAAGTGTTTGTTGTGGGGGAGGAAGGGAAAGGAGAATGTTAGCCGCTTTGAGACTCCTTAGGGTAGTAATAAAGCAGGATATCAAATCCAAACTCTTCTTCTTCAAACTGATACCCTGCCATTTTCCAGATGTTTACATTTCAGGATATCTCTTCCAGCTCTTTGATATATATTTTTTCATCCCCCATGTGACCTTGAGGGAGAGGCTAGGTGCTGGCCAAATGTTTCTCTGGTGTACCCGCAAGTTAGCTTAGCAGGGGATGTGATGACAGGGCCATCTCACCTGGCTCTTGTTTTCTCAGGAAAAATTTTTTTTAATAGAAGGGTACCCATATTAGCCACAGTTGATCCTCCAAGTCTCATGGTCCCTGGCATTTTCCTGCCCATGCCATTCGCTGATTCCAGCCATGTTAACACAAGGAGCTGCTGTGTAAGTCAGACGATCAGCCCATCTAACCCAGCATTGTCTCCACTGATGGGCAGCACTTGGTTCCCCGAGGTTTCAGGCACAGATCTTTCCTGGCCTTGGTCCCTGAGCCTTTTTAACTGGAGATGCCCAAGACTGAACCTGGGAACTTCTGCCAGGCGCCTCTGAGCTAAGGTTCCTCTCTCTATTGTAGAGAGGTTGAATGGTTTCTGTGTTTGAACTGCTAAATAATAATAATAATTTATTTATTTCCTGCCCTCCCCAGCCGAAGTCAGGCTCAGAGTGGCTAACAACAATAAAAGTAACTCAGCATTCTAAAATAAATTCATTCTAAAATCAATTAATAATCAAATTAATGGCAACCATTGGGCTAGAGTTCTGTGAGGATTACCAAAGGAGGGGGTCAGACTATGTCTTTGCCAAAGGCCTGGTGGAGCAGCTCTGTCTTGCAGGCCATGCGGAAAGATGTCAAGTCCCGCAGGGCCCTAGTCTCTTGTGACAGAGCGTTCCACCATATTGGGGCCACAGCCGAAAAAGCCCTGGCTCTGGTTGAGGCCAGCCTAACCTCCCTGTGGCCCAGAACCTCCAGTATGTTTCTGTTTGAAGACCATAAGGTCCTCCATGGGACATACCAGGAGAGGTGGTCCTTCTAGTCAAGGAGAAAAACACAGGAAGGTGTTTTTTTTTTGCTCTTTTTTCCATGGCTACCATGGATTTCAATCCCAGTCAAACTGACAACTTTCCTTTCCTCACATAGAAATGACAAAAACATTTAGATCCCAGGAAAGCTGAACCTGTTACGCTTCTATAGCAGCCTAGCCATTTGGGAGACAAAAGCTTCACTGCCCTAAGCAAAATACAATATAGTTGATATTATTGGTTGAACAGGCCCTATTTTACATGAGAGGCCGAAATCCACAGGGACAGAATGGCAGTCAGAAAAAGAGTCTGGCTGTGGTTTGTTAGCATGTTTAATGTTCATAACAGCACTTAAATGTGTCACTGCCAAACATTTTAACAGTCACTTTGTCCAAGTTGGTTGGGCTTCATTATTATGTCACTGATAATATTATAATTCTGTGGTACACATCCAAATTGGTACTCTACAGTACACAACCAAAGGAGAACGTAATGCACTTTTTGAATTTACATTTGAATAAAGCCCTTTTCCATTATTGCTGTTATTTTCCTTTGAGTCAACCTGATGCACAATTAGCTCCTTGGTTTTGCATAAGAATCTGCATTGGAAACACTCTCCAGAACACCTGTCAGAACATCATTTTATGCCATAACTGCCATTAACAATTTCTTGTCAACAGGCAATTACATCGCCCATCTGCTCATAAAGGCTGCAGAATAGACAGGGGGCCACTGGCCCCTTTTTCAATATTTTGTTTTAAGCCACGAGCCACAACAAAATAGGATTAATAATTCTGAGCACTAAAGGTCATACTGAGATTTCTTACATGACTTTGAGCACAGAAGTATGCAACCAAGAAGTAGTGCTTCAAAGTGACAGTGTGCATATCAGCCAGAAGATGACACAAGCATCCCTGGGAAATGTAAATTATAAGCTGCAGGGACTGCTTTTCAAGCCTTTATTAAGAATCTACATAGCAATTTACAACACTAACTTTTACAAATTTCATTGTTGTTTTAGAAACCAGTTCAGTACAGTACATAAAGCAACCACACGATTTACTTACCTGTTGGAAAAGTCAAGACAATGAATGTTCTCAGTTTCTTTGGAACAATTGAAAGTTCATATGCAGCCTATTTGAAAAAGTATTATTTATTTAATAAATTTAATAAATGTATATCCCACACCTTCAACCACTAGGGCAGCAAACCTTGCTTTTGGAGTCTAGAATTTGCCATAAAAGTACAGTTTAAGGCAGTAATCAATTGTGAAATTATGTGCCTGCGATAGGATATAGGTGTTTTCAGCGTGGGAACGGTGCAACTGTACTAGTTCCCACTATAGGTGAATTCTCTGCACGTGTGTTATACCAGATGCATTACAGGGGTACTGCAAATACAGTGTACTGTATAATTGCCTACAGAAACCGTGGGCAAGCCCATGATCTTCTTAATCTGGTGCAAGGAAAATTCAAAAAGATTTCAAAGAATACAAGTTATGCAAAGCTTTTGAGCACTCACAAGAAAGGTACTGTATGGAAGGACTTCCAAAGGCTTCTCCCCGTATTTCCTTTTCAGTATTCGCTCATGGACTTGTTATCTAAAATGGTGGTTGGCCAACCTCACTTTGTGCGCTGCATTAAGCCGAACAATGATCGACAGGCAAACAAATATGACAGAGAAAAGGTATTGGTACAGTTGCGCTACACGGGAATTCTGGAAACTGCACGGATCCGGAGACAGGGTTATTCTCACCGTATTCTCTTTGCTAACTTCATAGAGCGGTAAGTCCTTTACAAATGTTGTTTTGGTAAACTGTGTCCAGAAGGGACATTTTAGAACTAAACCAGATTCTGGTTCACTTAGGCTTCTCTGCACTGGATTGCTGCACATGGGCCAACTGCCAGTTAAAGGTGGGAAATGTCACCACCGAAAAGTCTTGCCCTTTCAGTGATACAAGGTAATACAGATGTTTTGTCTGCAGTATTATATCTCCAGCTATCTGTAAAAGTTGAAGGTAAAGAGACCCCTGACCATTAGGTCCAGTCGTGGCCGACTCTGGGGTTGCGGCGCTCATCTCGCTCTATAGGCCGGGGGAGCCGGCGTACAGCTTCCGGGTCATGTGGCCAGCATGACTAAGCCGCTTCTGGCGAACCAGAGCAGTGCACGGAAACTCTGTTTACCTTCCCGCTGGAGCGGTACCTATTTATCTGCTTGCACTTTGACGTGCTTTCGAACTGCTAGGTTGGCAGGAGCAGGGACCGAGCAATGGGAGCTCACCCCGTCACGGCGATTTGAACCGCCGATGTTCTGATCGGCAAGTCCTAGGCTCTGTGGTTTAACCCACAGCGCCACCCGCATCCCTCCAGCTATCTGTTCAAACATGCAAATCATCACTTGTCGTTAAAGTCAACCAGCATTGACAAGCATGTGTGAATCATCCCTTGATGCTGGGAAAGCTTCTGAAAAAGTGGGGGTGAAATGTGCTTGGAGAACATTTTGATTCAGGAATGCCGCACAGATTAAACATCCTGTGCTGTACTTCTGTCTACAAAGAAGCAGCTTTCCGGATACAGTAAAATTCAGCTTAAACAATTCCTTCATAATAAATTAGGAGCAGTGAAAACAATAAATACAGCCAACCAACAATACACTGAAGAACAGTTATGCTATTCCAAGGGTAGGCAACCTTAAGGCCTGGGGGCTGGATGTGGCCCAATCGCCTTCTCAATCCGGCCCATGGACGGTCCGGGAATTGGTGTGTTTTTACATGAGTAGAATGTGTGCTTTTATTTAAAATGCATCTCTGGGTTATTTGTGGGGCAAAGGAATTCGTTCATTCCCCCCCCAAAAAAAATATATAGTCCGGCCCACCACAGGGTCTGAGGGACGGTGGACCGGCCCACGGCTGAAAAAGGTTGCTGACCCCTGTGCTATTCTATTGTGTGTGCGAGTGGTGAAGGTTAGCTCTAAAGAGTCATTTGACTCAGAAGCGAGTTGGGAGCATTGTAAGTTGGAGTGAAGCCTAAATCTATATATTCAGAAAAACGCTTGTTCTCAGCCTGCACCGCATCAGAAGGCAGCTGGGGAAACATATGACGGAATGCTCTCCCATTCAGAAAACCTGCTTCCTGTGCAAAACTTGTGTTTGTCAGGAAGAAGACTTGTTGTTTAGCCTTCTCTCTGGTATATTTGATATCTGGTATATACACTTCTTTCGTTTTTATGTTGGAGGCCATTCAGACTTGCCATTCGCCACTGACATGTTAACGTGGCACCGTACTGGGGGCTGTACCACATGGTTTTTCTGAATGTGCTGATCAATTCAAATGTGGACTGTTATGCATCTAAGTTCACAGTTTGTATGAATGAAATAAAAGTTAACTGATTGGCGCTGAATGTCTTTTGCAAATGCAATACTAAAGGATTTGGGTTTATCTCTCTCTCTCTGTCTTAGATACTATCTCCTTTGTTACAAATCAAGTGACAAACCCCCTGTAAGCCCTGAAACATGCGCTGCCATCTTGGAAAAAGCCCAGCTTGATAACTGGATACTTGGGAAAACTAAGGTAGTATCTTTGCTCATTAGATGCAGCCCCCGTTGAAATAAATGGAATAAATGACTATATTGATGGATTTGAAAAGAGTTGCTTCTGCTAATACAAGTTGGAATGAGGCTACATCTTGCTGTGGCTGGGGATCTAAAGGCAACATGGTCCCAAAAGCTCCTTGTCCATCTCACAGATCCATCCATGCCCTACTCACAAAACTACCCAATGTACCACCTACTGTACATTGGGTACAGTAAGTCTTTCCCTACTGTAATCTTATGGACTGCAGAGAAGACAGGAAAAATGAAGACAGATCCCTCGTAATTCCGCTTTGGGGCTTTTTAAAAAACAAGCAGTATATACATTTTATGAAATAAATAAATAAATTCCACTGGGGCCTTTTAAGGTGTGTCATCCAGTCTCTTGTTGAGGATTACAGATTCACTAACACTAGATATATTGCTCTTATCAATCATGTGTGCATTGCACCTCATAAAACATCACCTTACATTCTCATTCTTTTCTTTGGGCAGGTGGGTGAGTAAAAGGTAGATAAACTAAAAGTTGTCCAGTCTAAATTCACACATCATGTTGGAGCTGAAGCAGTAACTGAGCCCAGTTCCTTTGATCTCAGCTCCACCTGTATAACCGGGTGCAGCTACCGTATATGCCTTCCTAAAGGAGATCGTCCCATATTCTCTGCCTGCTCCGCCATTACAATCAGATCTAAGGAGAGGGAAAGTGTGTTGGATAAGTACATTATGTTTTGTTATGATGCGGTATGCAAGTTCACATGCATTTCAGCCAGCTTGGAATTAAAAGTTATTGTGTTTGTCAGTAGTTTCCCTGTTCTGATGAGTCCAGGATTGGCAGAGAGATAGAGAAATATAGGTATTCCTCAAGAACAAACAGCCATGATTAAGGCAGATCTACAACTGCTTGTTTTAAACTCTGGAGAGTCCAACACTGGGGGTGCCATTTATGGATGGAAGGAGTCATCAGCCTTCCATGTAGTTCTTTCTTCTCTTTTTACCTCCTACAGGTATTTCTCAAATACTATCATGTTGAGCAGCTGAACTTAATGCGAAAGGAGACCATTAACAGGATTGTTTTGATTCAAGCGTATGTCAGAGGATGGCTCGGTTCAAAGAGATACAAAAAGATAAAGGAGAAAAGGGAAGAAAGTGCAATTAAAATACAAGCAGGTAATGGTTCAATGTAAGAAACATAATTATGTGCAAGTATTTGTTCATATTGATGTGAAATAAGAAATTCGGTGAAAAACAGCAGGTGCTATTTTTGTTGCGGTTGATTGGTTGTTGGATAATATTTTATCTTGTTTTGTTACCTTTATGCTGTCGTTAGTCACCTTGAGTAGCAAATTTTATATTTTAACATATATAAATTTATATATATATTGCATGGTGATATCAAGAGTCAAGCCCACAGCACCTTGAACTGGTGGCCAGGGGAATATTTAGAGAAGGTTCAGTTGTAGCTGGGGTGGGGTTAATGTGTATACACACAAACACACACTCTAGATTTGTGTTCCCACTCCGTGTGGACTATTTTCCAGAAAATTGTATTTTTAATGGCATATAATGGCAGGCCCCGTTTAAAGAATGACATGTTATTTTAAGAACAGGAGCAATCTAACCGTAAGACCATCTGAAAATTTCATTGAATAAGACAAGGCAAGTACATCGTGTACCTGGACTTAGAAAAAGCTTTTGACAAAGTACTTCACCAAAGACTTCTGAGTAAGCTTGGTAGTCAAGGAATAAGAGGCGATATCCTCTAGAGGATCAGGAATTGGTTAAGTTGCAGGAAGCACAGAGTAGCAATAAATGGACAGTTCTCTGAATGAAGTGAAATAGAAGTGGAGTTCCTCAAGGATCAGTAATGGGACCTATTTTCTACAGGCACCTGATTTGCCACTGTGAGAACAGGCTGTGGGACTAGATGGGCCTTTGGTCTGATCCAGTAGGTGGTTCTTATGATTTTATTGTGTTAACCACAAGCGGAAACTTTGTAACAACATATGGAGAATCTGCCCTTTTGATGGTTAATGCTTTCACGCTTTTAATGTGATGGGTGGAACTTTGATCCATTCACCACACTTAAGATTTGTTCCCTATTAAAACAGAATGGGCTTTTGTGTCAAGAGAATAATACTAATAGTTTGGTCCTGAACTTAGAGCACCCTTCCTCAACCTGGTGCTCTCATCAGCCCCAGCTAGTATGTACAGTGGCCACAGTTGGTGAGAGAAGTTGTCCAACAATTTCTAGAGGGTACTAATTTGGGGGAAGGCTGATTTTGAGCATAGAAAACTGTGTTTATATTGATCCAAATGTGCTTTCTTATCATGATCTTGGAATCTGTGTAACATCTCATTTATATACCTGGTTCCGAATGTATTTCATCTCTGTTTCTACTCTGAGCATGCATCAGTACTTCAGTGAAAATAATTGTGTCTGCTTAAAAAAGCTTTCACTATCTCTCTTTAGCTTACCGGGGATATGTTACTCGCAAGCAGTATTCGAATGCAAAGGCAGCATACAAAATCGAAATGTGCATTACCAAGCTACAGGCTGGCAAGTATTTTTTTATAATTTGTAAATAATTCTTGTTGACTGCAAAAAATAAAAATAAAAACAGCTTAGAGTAAACATACATGACAGTATCTACCATAGCTGCAGAATGCCTTATACAAAGATCACAGCAAATGATTAAATTATCCAAAAATAGTCATTACCAGTGTTGTGTGTTTATTATGCATTAATATCTCCCCTCCAAAGCAAGACGTGGGTATTTGGAGGGTCTAAGAATTTTGAGTCGTTATTAATAAAGAGGGGTTGGAATAAAAGCCATGTCTCTTCAAACCGACTTTACTTCGCCACTTATCTGTGCTGTGTGAGACATTCAGATGGGTTTCCCCCTGAGATGTTACTGAACTATGCCGCTTTAGTTAGGTAGGTAGGCTGGGAAAGAATTTGGCTTGTATTTCATCGAAGCTCTTCTCAAAGGTTGAGGGTACCACCATCAGTATCCTTGGCTATGTATCTGGATTAGATGGGAGATCTGCAACTTCCGGCTTTGCTTTCTTTTGTGTCTGTCAAGAGCTGAGCCATGATAGTGGGGAGCATGATAATGGGAGCTAGGAGCGAAACTGGAGGTCAGAGCCAGGAACCAGAACCAGGGAACATGAATCAGAGTCACGATAGACTGGTTTCCACCAGGGAAAATCTCTGCATGAGCAGAGAGCCAGTGTGGTGTAGTGGTTAAAAGCGGTAGTCTCGTAATCTGGGTAACTGGGTCCGCGTCTCCGCTCCTCCACATGCAGCTGCTGGGTGACCTTGGGCTAGTCACACTTCTCTGAAGTCTCTCAGCCCCACTCACCTCACAGAGTGTTTGTTGTGGGGGAGGAAGGGAAAGGAGAATGTTAGCCGCTTTGAGACTCCTTAAAGGGAGTTAAAGGCGGGATATCAAATCCAAACTCTTCTTCTTCTTCTTAGCCCTGCTGAGAAGAGGCAATGACTAAACCCGCAGAAGTCTAATTTTATACCATTCTACTGTCACTGGTGCTTGACCACCAGTCATTTCTATCCTGTTTCATGCAGGTTTGTTGGTGGGTGTTTTTTTTTAAAAAAAAAAGTGTGGTCAAATACACATCTTTACATAAAACACACATTTTAAAGTGCTTTTCCATTCTTTCCCCCCATAAAGCAGCACATATTGTATGCATTAATGCGTAAAATACATATTTTGTGCACCCTTTTTGTGCAAAGGAGCTACATTACAAAATCTGGATAAGTGCATAATCTGACTGAGATATCCAGGAGCAATTTCAGGAGTGGTGGATGATTAGATTGCTCTGCTGGAAAAAAATGAATTCTTCTCCAACCCTCCCTGCCTATTTGGGTGTAGCCACTCCAATGCTTAGGAACCCTCTAATGTAGGAGTGAGAAACACCAGGTATTACTGAACTCTCAATTCCCATTAGCCAGCATGACCAACCCATCAGGTATGACTGTTTCCCTATGGGAAAGAAACCTCCCTGAAACTGCAATGCTATCACATCTAGAAGTGGGCTGGGAGAGAATCTCCCCACCCCCTCCCAATGGGCTATCATTTTATTTGCATAGGAGAGCATGCAAAAATGGTTATCAGTCCCCCCCCCCACCTGCAATATGATGTAGTATAGTCCAATGTACCATTCTAGGGCTCCACCATCACATTCTGCCAGGCCAAGTGTGTGGGACAAACCAGTCCAGTTTTGTGATAGGGGAGTGAACATGTTTCACGTAAATATGGAGCTAAATAAGAAGGCATTCTGATGAAAAAGGAGTCCTCCGCTTCTGGGGACAGAATACAGATAACTGAAATAAACAGGCATAGTTCTTTGTTAGGGTCAACTCAGTCAAAATCCATAATGTGCTATTTAACACCGTTGGAGTTGGTGATGGTGTTCCCTATCCAAACTGCCACAAGAGGAACCACACACACACACACACACACACACACACTGCTCTGCATATATTTTGATACTGCTTAATTTTTAATATATATATTTTTATGTAAAGCATTTTATGAAGTCCACCTGAAAAGCAGCATATCCCTCCTCAACCTGGTGCCTTCTAGGTGTTTTGGACTACAACTCCCATCATCCCTGGCCTTTGGCCATGCTAGCTTGGGCTGATGGGAGTTGTAGTCCAACAACATCTGGAGAGCAGCAGGTTGGGGGAGGCTGCAGTATATGAATAGCTCAAATGAATAAACAAATTATTGAGTTATGTTCCTCTTGTAATTTACATCAGCTGCAAGAGGATATTTAATCAGGAGGAAAATTAAGGAAGAAAAGGAAGCAAATTCTAAAGCAGCAACGACAATTCAGAGTCATTACAGGGGATACAGGGAGCGAAGGAGCTTCAAAAGGAAAAGGTACTGTTTGCTTTCTCGTTGTGATTGTTCTGTTAAATGCCGTCTCCTTCTGCAATAAAATATAGTCAGAAAGCAGCAATATATCCTAGACCATGACGAACTGCATTCTTCCGTGCAGACAAGGTGAGATATATCTCATTATATTGCGTTTTGTTTTCAGTAGACGTGTCAAAGAAGGGCACGTGATTTCCATTAAAAACACTGGATGCAAATAAATGATATTTGACTGCTAACATTTTATCCACATCTGATTTGTAAAAGGTCTGGTAGCTCTAAGTCTGAATATTGGATTCCTGGCTCCATTTGCATTAAAACAAGAAAAGGCCTTTCAGCCAGATATTGAGAGCTCAACACAGGACCGGGGGGGGGGGGAGAGAAGCATGAACAAGAAAATATTGTTGAATAATCTCCTTACCTAACACTCAAACGAGGGTACAATTAACTGCAAAAAATGTATCTATACTTTAAAACAGATTCAGGAGCAGATTCCCTGATCTCAGGGAGGTCAGTTGCATACATAACATATGCATTAATTTAAAACAATTGACAAAACACAATAGAACAAAAAATAAAAAATATGAAAGGCAGTAAACCCCAATAATTTATTTACCCCCAAATCCTGGAAGAATGAAAAAAAAGGTTTTTGCTTGGTGGTGGAAATGCCATCTGTATCTCCAGGGGAAAGGAGTAACTACAGTTTGTGGTAGGGAGGAAAGGGAAATTGTTTCAGTTCACATAAAAAAGGGAACTTAAGTCATGTTTTTAGAACTGATAGGTGGACTCAAACTTAGTCTATCCTTTCAAATTTGTACTTCTCCAAATTTTGAAATTCAGTTCTCCAGCCAAGTAATGTATACAGAAATGTGTGTACTAGGGAAGTTTTAAAGGGAAGTTTTTAATGTGTGACATTTTAGTGTATTTTTGGTCTCTGTGGAAGCCGCCCAGATGGGTGGGGTACAAATAATAAATTATTATTATTATTATTATTATTATTATTATTATTATTATTATTACTAGGGCAGGGTTGGGGAACCTCTTTGTGAATAATGTCAACAATCTGAAACAATCCGAAATGGCTGGTTTTTTGATGAGCACCACCAGTCATTCATGACTGGACCTAACAGTCAGGGGTCCCTTTACCTTTTTACTTTGAGTAGGGGGTATTCTTCATTCCCCCCCCCAACGCTCTTTCCTTTTGTAAGCAACAACAAAAAAGGACTCCCAACATTTTCTGTATTGCTGTATTGTTTTTAACACTGGATTGGAAGCCGCCCAGAGTGGCTGGGGAAAGTCAGCCAGATGGGCGGGGTATAAATAATAAATTATTATTATTATATTCTTCTCATTTTTAAAATTGCACATATCATATTAACCTTTTAATGCATATATATTGTATCAGGATTACAATATCTCCTAAATATAATATGTTTCTGTCAGGGAGTCACTTCTTAGGAAGGAACAGGCTGAAACGGCAGCTACCCCAGTGAAAAGGAAGAAGAAGATGTACAAATTACAGAGATCGAGAGTAACACGACCGTTGGACACAACAACTCTCCTCCCCGAAGTGAGGAGGAGGCCGCTGTCATCCTTCAGAGCAACTACCGTGGTTACAGAGAAAGGAAGAAGGTGAAGGAGCAGGGCTTCAAGAATGCGGCAGGGCAGGAACCACCTCAAGAGGAGAACCTCAAACCAGCACCAGAAGCCGAAGCTGGTATGGACCATTGTAAGAAAATGGGAGATGCAGATGAAGCACAAAGCTCTCCTGTAGAGGTTGAGGTCAACGCAAATGTTGAGCTCAAGTCACCACCTCACACTGAAGAGGAGGCGGCTGTTATCCTCCAGAGTAACTACAGGGGTTACAGAGAACGGAAGAAGTTTAAGGATGAGAAGTGTAAGAAACTGGGAAGTACAGATAAGGGGCAGGCCTCACCCCCAGAGGTCCACGTCAGTGCAGCTGCTGTGCCCAAGTCACCACCTCAGACTGAAGAAGATGTACAAATTACAGAGATGGAGAGTAACACGGCTGTTGGACACAACAAGTCTCCTCCCCGAAGTGAAGAGGAGGCCGCTGTCATCCTTCAGAGTAATTACCGCGGTTACAGAGAACGAAAGAAGGTCAAGGAGCAGGGCGGCAAGAATGTGGCAGGGCCAGAACCGCCTTCAGAGCAGAACCTCAAACCAGCGCAAGAAGCAGAAGCTGGTGTCGACCAAAAAGGTGCAGCTTCTGTTGTGACTCAGAGCATCTCTGACTTAGATCTGAAGGCACCAGAGGAGAAGGAAGAAGTACTTCCCAGGAAACGACAGTCTTCTGTGAAACAAAAACTCCCAGAGGAAGGTGAGAAAAAGGCCATTTCCGACGGCTTGCCTAAGAAAGCATCTATCAGAAAGGCAAGTGAATCGAGCCAGCCAACTCTGCATGGAAGAAGGGGCTCGGAGGTGCAAAGGCCGTCTCCCATTGTTCCCCATGGCAGTCACCTGGAAAGAGGTTCTTTGAAACACGGCCAGCCGCCTCCCTTTGAAAATAAAGCAAGTGTAAGGAAAAGCTCTGCGAGAGGCTCTCAGAAACATATTGAAGTCAGCAAGCAAACCTCGGGAGACAAAGAGAAGGCAGCCTTAGTCATTCAGAGTAATTATCGAGGATACCGAAGGCGAGGACAGCTCAGGAAAGAAGGGAAATTGCCGGGTGGGAACCAAGAGAGAGCACACCATGAGGGGAATGGTGGAGGGAGCAGTCAAAATCCCGGTCCAAAGGCAACAATAGCGAGGCAGAGATTCAGCGCTGAGGCTGAGGGATCAAATGATGTTCCGGAAGATGGCCCAGAGAAGGACAAGTCGGATCTGGCGGCATTTTCCAGGCAGGTGAGGAGATTAGAGCTGGGGAACTTTTCCCAATCTGGGGGTTATATTCCATTCTGGGCAGCCTTCTGAGGGCCACATGCCGGCGGCAGGTAGGGCCAGAGGAAAAAGTGGGTAGAGCAATGAATGCGATTTTTACCTTTGTAATGTAGATTATTTTCTATATCCTCGCACATCCAGAGGTGTGTTTAAGGGTTGGTGAAATCAGCTCCTGTTCTGAATTTTTAAAATATGCTTGATAATAACAATAGTAATGCCTTTGGAAGTAGTATGAGTTCAGCAGTGAGGGTTATTGAGGTTGTCAAGATATCTATCTACAAAAGCAAAATTCCCTCTCTCTCTCTCTCTCTCTCTCTCTCTCTCTCTCTCTCTCTCTCTCATTGCTTCTCCTGCTCCCACTGCCCAGAATTGATTTGCATTAAAGCTTGGTGCTTTTATTTCCTAGATATCAAAATTATCGGAAGACTATTTGGTGCTGCAGCAGAAGCTGAACGAAATGATTCTGTCCCATCAACTGAGGCCTGTGATGCTCTCCAAAGACAAGCAAACAAATGGCCACCTTCCTCCTCGTGTGTGCCAGCCTGGTAAAAAAATATTTTTTTAAAAAAAAATCACTCTCAGCATTGAAAGGCAATATTAATCTGACTCAATGGAATATACTCTGCAACTACAGGGATGGGGAACCTGTGGCCCTCCAACTCTCTTCATTCCTGATGCATCTCCAAGAAATTCTGGAGGGCCACAGGTTCCCTATGCCTGGCTTTAGATTACATGTATGGCTCTCCAAGGGACACGGGTGGCGCTGTGGGTTAAATCACAGAGCCTAGGACTTGCCGATCAGAAGGTCAGTGGTTCGAATCCCCGCAACAGGGTGAGCTCCCGTTGCTCAGTCCCAGCTCCTGCCAACCTAGCAGTTTGAAAGCATGTCAAAGTGCAAGTAGAGAACTAGGTAAGGCTCTGGCAGGAAGGTAAATGGCGTTTCCATGCGCTGCTCTGGTTTGCCAGAAGCAGCTTAGTCCTGCTGGCCACATGACCCGGAAGTTGTACGCCGGCTCCCTCGGCCAATAAAGCAAGATGAGCACCCCAAACCCAGAGTTGTCTATGACTGGATCTAATGGTCAGGGGTCCCTTTACCTTTACCTTTATGGCTCTCCAAGGTGTCAGACTTGTGCAATTCACCTGCCCTCTCCTTCTGCACAGCCAGGAGCACTTTAGTCTGCCAAGTTCAGTTCCATTTTCAGACTTTCTTAGCTTAGCATTACATACAACCCAGCTTCATAATTCATGGATGGAAGTTGATTTGTTTAGCATCAGACCAAAGTCTGCTTTAAACCCAGGATCCCTGAGAGTAAGCTCAAATTGTCTGAAAGTGCAGCTAAACTTGACAGAAGTCGTCTTCTTGGCCTCAGTGTGCAGAAGGAAATGGAAAGTAAGTGGGGAGGGTGAGAGTCTCTCCGTTTACTCAGGCCCACAGAGGCTCCTCTGTTTCCGGTTATCCTATGGTCCGCATTACATGTGGACCAAGCTATTGTGAGGAACAAATACGTGTACAATTTTGCTGCCACTTAGCAATGCCTTCACATAGTGAAAAGATCCAGTGCCGATGGAAATTGAAGTTTGCATTTTGGTTATCTTAATTACTCTTCGTTTCTGAAACCTATGAGAGAGAAAAGTCAATCTCTTCATTATTTTTGGCAGGACCTTTCACCTTCATCATACTCTATTTGCCAATGACTTTAAGCTTTAAGCCGAATTCTAGGATTAAATTTAAAGTGAGGCCTGACAGCATGAGTAATCATTCCCAGCTAATATGGATTAAATGTTCAAAATAATATTTTGGGAAAGTAGCAAATGCCACTTTTCACACATGAGAGGGATAAGAGAATGCATAGCTAAAACTGCCTTTCCTCTCCTGTCCGTTCACACATGGCAGAAAAGGAAAGAAGGGACTCAAGGTGTTTAATACCTTGAAAACTTGGTGGTGAGAGTTGTGGTCCAAAACCAGTCTGGGAAAGGCTGAAATAGACAGCAAGTCCCATTGAACTCAGTGAGAATCGCATGCATAGGATTAAACCATTGAGCAGGTACTAAACCAAATTAAATTGCCTGTCTGCTTTCCAGCCTTAGATTAAAGCTAGTTAAAAGTGAATAATTTGGTCCAAGTAGCCTTTGGATAGCAATTTTGGACACCCTGTTCATAATGCATGTTCATGAAATCTAAGTCTATTACAATACACATACAAAAATCTCCTACACACAAAAGTTGCCTTTTCTTCGTAATATGCATTGAATGTATTATTTACCCATCCCTTACCTCATACTTTCTTTTCTTACCCACAATATGGCAAATGAAAATTGTTCTCCTTATCCTTTTAAAACTGCATATAAATAATAATGGGACAAATGTTTCTGAACTGAGCAGCAATTTGATTGGACTCAGGGACAATATGGCCTTAACTGAATAAATGCTCTTGCGAGCAATTTGCTTTTTTTTCCCTAAAGGTCTAGATGCCCTTTTAAAAATATTGTTTTAAATGAGGCTCTTTTTATTCTTTTTTTTTGCATTTTAAACCTTCTAAAATGCTACTTTTTCATTTTCTTTATGAACCTGTGGGGTAGTTAGTCATCTTTTCAGCAATAATTTGATTGAGAAGCCTGATATCAAAAGCAATGGTATCTTTTTAAACATATATATATATTTAAGTTGTCTTTCATTGCTTTTCTTTGCCCAGCAAAGGCATGGTTTAATTGCTTTTTGGAGTGGAATCGGGAGCAATAATAGCACCTTTCAAGCATTCAATTATTGGCAAAAACAGTATAGGAGCCCCAGAGGCACAAAATCATAGGCATTATGTCTCACGTTCTGTTGCCCTTTGGAAAGGCATTGATGTTCTGAAAGAAGTTTAATTGGCCCGTTTTTGGTGTGGTGGGTTAAAACATATGCATTCAGTGCAGGCCTTTGTGGGAGAAAGGGGTAATGAACTCCTCTGTGTGCACTTCATAGGAACATCCAGAACTGCCTTATACTGGTAGCCCGACCAAAGGACCATCTAGTCCAGTGTTTCCCAACCTTGGGCCTCCAGCTGTTTTTGGACTACAACTCCCATCACCCCTAGCTAGCAAGACCAGTGGTCAGGGATGATGGGAATTGTAGTTCAAAAACAGCTGGAGGCCCAAGGTTGGGAAACACTGAATTCTAGTCTCCCCTGAGCAATTCTCTAGGATTTCAGGCAGGGGGAATTCCCAGTCCTTACCTGGAGATACCAGGGATTGACCCTGGAACCTTCTGCATGCGAAGCAGGTGCTCCAGCACTGAGCTATGGCCCTGAGGGCACACTTGTCATTATGTTGGGATGGGATTCAATCGCACCTTGACACATCCAGGTTGCTCATTTGATTTGGAGCTCTTGTGTGTCCTTAAAAGGTCAGGCTTTGGGCGATAAGGACAAGGGCAGGAAAAAGATGCACTGTAAAGTGTGAGATAAAGCTTGCTTTGATACAGCAGCATCCAGAGGCGCTAGAACCCACTATAAACACCTTCCACCTCCCTTGTATAATGGCAATGGAACCCACCTGAGAGGTGCTGGGACTGAGATAATAATAACACAAGGTGTGACCGGAAAGTTTGGTGAATGGTCACAGAAATCGGACAGCGAGAAATATTCAAACATACATACCTTGTTGTTGTTTAGTCATTTAGTCGTGTCCGACTCTTCGTGACCCCGTGGACCAGAGCACGCCAGGCACTTCTGTCTTCCACTGCCTCCCGCAGTTTGATCAAACTCATGCTGGTAGCTTCGAGAACACTATCCAACCATCTCGTCCTCTGCCGTCCCCTTCTCCTTGTGCTTTCCCAACATCAGGGCCTTTTCCAGGGAGTCTTCTCTTCTCATGAGGTGGCCAAAGTATTGGAGCCTCAGCTTCACGATCTGTCCTTCCAGTGAGCACTCAATACATACCTTACAGGCTCTCAAAGTAGGCCCCATCTGATACAATACACTTTTGACAACGTTCGTGGAACTGTTAGAAACTTCTGGAGCAATCCTCTTTTCGTACTGCTTTCAGTTCCCTCGTCACAGCAGCTTGGACATGTGAAATCAGTGCCCTTTCAGTGCAGTTTTCAGTTTTGGAAAAAGAAAGAAATCTGGTGGAGCCAGATCAGGAGAATATGGAGGGTGGGACAACTCAGTAACATTAGTAACGATTTCACGTGGAATATGCAATTCTTCCACCACCATTTGGACGGACAAACGGCATCCCACATCAATAACTCACGAACTCTGCATAATAAAATGTCAGAGGTTAAAAACTTCCCGATACAGGGCTGCCTTCAGATGTCTTCTAAAAGTTGTGTAGTTCTTAATCTCCTTGACATCTGATGGGAGGGCACTCCACAGGGCGGGCACCGCTGCTGAGTAGTTCCAATGAATTATGGCTGGAAAAAAGCCCTGGCGGCCTCTAACCTTCCCATATCCAACTCCGAATGAATTGCCATTGACTAGTCAGGGTTGTCTAATTTCCCTGCAAGCAAATCAGGATGAATGCTCAATAAACAGCTCACCTGGGAGTGACTTGAGCCCATCCTGGGGTTGAAGAGAGGGCCTTCTTTGCAGTGGCCTCCTGATGCTGGCATTGTTGTCTTCTCAATGCAAGGTTAAAATAAAACCTTTTTATTTGCCCGCACATATTAGTTTAAGAAAGTTTGAGCATGCTAAATGGATTTATTCCTCTTAACCATATTGTGTTTCTATAGTTTTAAATTTCTTGGTTTACTGCCCTGGAATCAGTGATGGGCAGTATATATTTTTTAAAAATAATAGCAATACATTCTTTTTCCGTTATTAGTGTCTTGTAATATAGAGATTGTGATCTATTGTGGATTTTAAAAAATATACTGTAATGGGGGGGTGAAGTAATATGTTAGGTGATAACTAGAAACATTGATTATACAATAAATAAAATGGGTATCCTGACCTTTTCTTCATTAATAAACAAAATAAAAATATTTGCCCCCCACAGCAATGATTCTGCTTTTTCAGCTGGTCCATCTGTCAGAGACAAAGACCTGCCTCTAAGTGGAGGATGAATTAAAACCAACACATCTTCTTTCCTACCCTTTAGAAAGCAAATACTTTCTTCAAGAAAATTTCCTGCTGAATAGCATCCTTGTGGAGCCCGTTTCTGATAAAGGCATTAATCAGCAAGCGGCAACAACTGTTAATCTTTTGTTTTCCTTTAAATCAGTTGGCATTTCAATTTCCATAATTACTGTAATAGTTCAAGTGATAATTGTACATGTTTCCTTCAACTTCACTTGTTCTGTATGTCATCTTACAGCTGTGATATGTGAATCCAAAAATAGTACTTTGTATGCCAAACAGGAATGCTTGTCTGCCTCTAGCTATGAATAGGAGCACATTACTCATCTTTGACAACCCACGATGGCTATTGTGTTAACTTTTGATTTTAGCTATATTTCCTGTAGATTATTTTTGTTGGCCACCCAAGGTGAAAGGGTAGCAGGGAAACAAGCTGATGTGTTATGGCTGAGAATTTAATGTTTTTAAATAGCCACTTTAAGGAAGAAGAGGTCTTGGAGCATTGTTGTCCTGCGCTTGGCTGCACAGGGGCACATTTATCAGCACATGGAATTGGTATGATGAATATTAACATAATATTAACTCTCATAATTTTCCTAGGTCACCATAATCAGTTTAGACCCCGGTGTCTGAAACTTCCATTCATGGTTTGGAACAAAACACAGTTTCCTGTTTCATCTGAATACAGGGAACCGTGGCTTAAACAAATTTAGTTAACAAGCCAGGATCTCAAACCAATATTTGATATTCCAGTTTGTTAACTGCCTGTGGTTCCCCATATTATATGAAATGGGAAATGGCGGTTTGATTCCAAAGATTAAGAGAACCTTCACATTTTCACCTCCCAGGTGCAAAGGAGATGGAAAGGAAAATTTGAGGATGTGGGCCCTGGGGCTCACTACAGCATATTGTCATTGCTACTAACCACGATTTGTTGTGATATCTGAATGTGGCCTTAGTCATTACACTGCAACAGCACGAGTGAGTGAGTGTGTATGTGTATGTATATGTCCCAATGAAAGAGTTTTAAGTGAGATTCTAATCTAGCGCTGACTATCTACTTTAAATTAAAGACTCTGGTTCATATTTGCTTTCAGTGTAGTAAAATTAATTAATTGCATTGAAATTTCATTGTCTAAGGTAAATTGACTACACCTTGGTTTAGAAAAGCGCCATTGTTCTTCAAAAGGCAAAATGTTAAGAGATAATTGTCCATTCATTAAATTAGGCACCGTCTGCATTCCAGATAAGAAGCTAGAACAATAAATGTAATCATTACTCAACTACGTTGTAAATTAACATTATTCCTTCTGGTCCTCCAATATATCAGTGACCTTTCCAAGGCTGCATTTATCACACATAACAAAGAAAAAGTTATACAGCTAATTTTGCTGGTGCTTACACTGATGTATTGCTGATCATTTTGATTATAAATGCTTGTGCCAATTTCTTAATTAAAATGGTATTATGGTGGTGGGTGAATAGCATTTTCCTTACCACCAGGGATGAAAGCTTCTGTGAAGCATAAGAGAGCAAATACTTCCTTTTCCTATCCATATAGGTCAAACCAAGGTGAACACAGTCAAGAGCTTGGGTGCCATTCATATGAGCATGTCGCATTAAGATGGTGTAACTTCAGTTGGGCAAAGGGGGCGATTGTCCCATGCACAATCCAGACTGAAGATTGGGTCCAACACTAGTAATGCTCACAGCAGTGCCATTGAAATTAATGGACATGACTACCTTTGTTCCATGAATTTCAGTGGGTCTACTTTGAGTAGAACATAACTGACTACAACCCAATATTGCAACATTAAAGTAGCAGAGGACCTGTGGGTCTGAAATTTCAGTGGCGCTCTTTGCAATGCTAAATTTTGGCACCACCACAACCACCTCTTGCCTTCCATTCTACATCATAGTTTTGGCACCCAAGACTCCACACCCAGTGTGGTCAAACCTGTTGCGCTCCCCTAAATGTGTCTCTGCTTGAAGGTCTTGTAACTGTGTCCGAGTCATTGAAGGTTTCTGTCCCTCTCTTATACAGTAATGCTAAAACTCAGGACCATGCCATGAAGCTGAATGACAGAAGACAAATAAAAAGTATTTATTTACACAGTGCACAGTTAAACATTTTCTCCCACGGGCTATAGCGATGGCATACCCCACAGGTGTCCCTGGAAAACCAGGACACCCTGTTTTTTATTGCGAGAGAACGGCAGCCATTACGGTTGCTGTGATCTCGAGTGATTTCCTCCCCGAGAAAAACACTTCTTTTGGAGGAGGGAGCACAACTCCAGTGTCCCAAAATGCACAGATGAGAATGACAAGATGGACAAACAGAGAGACACTCACGTCCTGCTTGCACACTTCCCAAAGAGATCTGTTTGGCCACTGTAAGAACAGGACGTGATTCATTGGGCCTTTGCCATTATCCAGCCTGCCTCTTATGTTCCTAGGTGATAAAATTCTATTTGGGCAATACCAGTTCAGTCTGCAGATGTGTGGGGGTAGGGTGCCACATGAATGTGTGATCCTCCATAGAAGAAAAAAATCCGCTCTGCATAAAACAAACTAGACACCAAAGAGCAATCCGTGAGCTGAGCCTTGTCACTGACGTGCTACTTTCCTATGTGTATAGATGTCTTGGAGATTGTTCCGGGATAGATTCCAACACCTGTGGCCTGAAGTGACATGTCCCAGACACAGGCATCCTGTACCACCTCTAGAAGAATTAGGTTTATGTCTGCAATTATAAATAAATGCTAAACTCTGCAATATTTCCTTCTCGGATCTGAATGTATATTTCCAGGTGTAAATGAAAAGCTAAATATCAGTCTCTGAGAGGCTTAGCTTGGGCAAGACCAGGCAGAATAGCAGTCTGGGAGGTTACCAGCTATTGAAAACTGCTTGAAGTATATGAGTAGAAAATTGGAGTGTATGGCTGTAGCTGATTGGAAAGGAACAGTGCCCAGGTCTTACTCCTTTGCACTGAGATATTATAATGTCAAGAGCTATAAACGCGAATGCACACCACCTTTTTCTTTTTTCTTTTTTTGGAAACTCATCAGATTTTAAAATATGCATTAATTCAGTTTTCTGCTTTATTAACTTTTTAAACCACTGTATTAAAGAGAGGGAGGAAATGCTCTCTGAAGGCAAGAGTCCCTTCTGAATACACTCTAAATGCCGTACTTTGGGGTTGAAGAACTGTATCAGCAAATTCAGAGACTTCTGAAGGATAGCTGTGTTTTGGTTTGTGTACCATTTCAGGAAGAGGGAATTAAGTAAGGTCACATTAAAATGCAGACCAATTTCTTCCCCTTTCCTTACCTTGAGGTGTCTGGCTAGCTGCTTCCAGTTTACAAAAGCTTCTGTCCCTGTTTGTCTTGAGGGCATAAGTCAAGTGACTGGTTATTTGTGGCTTTGATGAACATGTAGAACCGCCAAACATAAGCTGGGATAGTTGTTGCAGCGTGTGCACATGACTGAGTTTGCTCCAGAAGCAATATAAGAACATATAAAAATTTTCCACCTGTGCCATCTTTTTAATTCTTTTAATGTTGGAATAGCAGCCATGGGAAACAATGATATGAGACAACCATCCTCTATAGGTTTTGATGGTGTTAGCAGATCTTGAAAATATGCACTGCCATTCTTTAAAGGGCTTGATGTATCTCAAAGTATTTCATAGAATCGTAGGACTGTAGATTTGGAAGGGACCCTGAGGATCATCTAGTCCAAACCCCTTCAATGCAGGAATCCTGCCCACATTTCTCTTGTGTAAAATAAAGGTATTTTCCTCTCTTGCAGTTGCTTCCAAATCAGAGGATGCTCACTCTGTGCAAAGGAGCCCAAGGAGGCCCCAGAAACCCAAGACACTAAATAACCCCGAAGACTCGACATATTACACTCTCATACATGTAAGCATTACTGTCAAACCATTTGGCTAAAATCTGCCCCTTTAGCTTGTAGTTGAATGAGCAGCTCTAATTCAAGACTAATATTGGTGAGTTGAATGTTGGTGTGATGTATGTTCTTCCAAGATCAATCCCCAAAACTCTGGCCTTCAATGGCTTAGATATGTACCCCAAAACCAGAATGTTCATTGCAATTCCACCTTTTGGAATCCCATTATTTCTGAGCATCTGCACCAAGGCAGCATCGTAGTGCTGCAACTTATTTTCTCAAAGTGAAAGGTAATCGCAAAAGGGAAGGACGGAGGGTTACAAGGTCAACTATCTGCCACAGCTTTCCAAATCTGACCCTACTGCTGCTTAAAAGGGGAGAAAGGGGAGGGGGGACGGTGATCAGATATGTCAGAAGGAAATGGAAAGAGCTGTTTTGTAGGTTCCTCTTAAGAGCAATTAAGCCCACTTGCTAGAGGCACATGCATACTATTGACCTACTTAGCAGCAGGTGACAGAATACATTTGCTTAGTCAGGCTGCCGCTATTGCTGGCACTCAAAAGTACAGCAGAGGAATTGGGAGAAGAGGAGAGCAAAACAAGGGTGGAACTCGATGTTCTGGAGCAGCCACTGTTTCACGTATCTTTGCTCCCTCTTTCTCACACATCTGTGGTGATAAATGCATCCTTGCCCTGTTTGTTTCTCCTCCACACCACTGGGAGACAATGATGTAAGCCAAGGGCATGAGATGAAAGGCACAGTGATGTAGCCTGTGGCATCATATCCTGTGACATAATCAGTGGCGTAGCGTGGGGGTGCAGGGGGGGCCGGCCGCACCGGGCGCAACATCTGGGGTTAGGGCAAATCCACGGGTTAGGGGGCGCAAATCCACGGGTTAGGGGGCGCAAATTACTTGCCTTGCCCCAGGTGCTGACAACCCATGCTATGCCACTGGACATAATAGGCACTGAGAGAGAGAGAGAAAGAGAGAGGTGGACATGCTCCATGTCTGTTACAATGGCATGGTTTGTGTGTCACATTGAGCCCAAACCATGGCTTAGAATAGGGACGCAGGTGGCGCTGTGGGTTAAACCACAGAGCCTAGGACTTGCCAATCAGAAGGTCAGCAGTTCGAATCCCTGTGACGGGGTGAGCTCCTGTTGCTCGATCCCTTCTCCTGCCAACCTAGCAGTTCAAAAGCACGTCAAAGTGCAAGTAGCTAAATAGGTACCGCTCTGGCGGGAAGGTAAACGGCATTTCCGTGCGCTGCTCTGATTCACCAGAAGCGGCTTAGTCATGCTGGCCATATGACCCGGAAGCTGTACGCCGGCTCCCTCGGCTAGTAAAGCGAGATGAGCACCGCAACCCCAGAGTCGTCCGCGACTGGACCTAACGGTCAGGGGTCCCTTTATCTTTACTTTATGGCTTAGCATGCTGCTCCTGGACAAGACATTACAGCTGCTTCACTCCTCCCAAATAATTTTGCCTCTACGCCACACTGAGCTAAGCCATGGTTTGGCTTAGCATGGCATCCAAAGCCAGACTCTTCAGCATACAGTGGTTAAGAAATATATTGCATAAAAGTAATAATGATGATGGTTTAAAAGCTTCTGAGGATAAGAGGACATTACAATTGTCCAAGAATTGATGTTTCACCAGGTACATCTTCTCAAATGCCACTGCGTTTGCATGCTTCAGCGTTTCACCATAGCGGTTAGTGTGGCTTACAAAAAAATTGTGACATCTCTGAAATATAGACAGTGGGGTTGGGCTGGAGGGTTAGGTCAAGCCATCCGTGAATCTTAAATCAGTTTTTTAAAAAAATGAAATCACAGAGAACTCCCTCAAGTTTCAGGAGTGGCATGGAAGAGTTTGTAACCTGAAGGAGGAGTGGGTGGCAGAGGGGAGGGGATGAGATCATGGTGCACATCTTTGGGTTACAGAAAAGGACCATAAATTAACATTTGTACAGACTATGTGATCATAGTTATAACCACTCCAAAATTTGTGTTTTCAGAAATCAGTCCAGGATGAAAAGCGGAAACCAAGAAAAAACAGGTAGCTTTTCTTGTTACTTCAGAAAGATGCAATTGTATGTTGGTGTGACAACAATGGGGAATTGTTAATTGATATTTAAGGAAAGGAATGCTGAAGACAAATATTTGCAGGGTCAAATTCTTGCATTTTGATTAGGACAAAATTTGTTATTGAATTCGAACATTGGTTTATTTATGCGTCCCATCTACTTGTCCCAAGGAGACTGTGAAAGACGTGAACAGGAAACCAATTTTTTAAAAAAATAAAAATAAATTGTGGGGGATAAGGGTGGACAAGCATAATCTAGTCATGACCAAGGTGCAGGCCTTTGGGAAAGCCTTAACGACTCATTTGTTCTCTGTTGCGTTTGCTTAAATAATTTTTATTGGGTTTCTGAATTGAATTGGTTTTAGCTGTAATATTTAATGGAGTTTAGTATTTTACTGAGGTGAATGTTTCTCAGTGCCATGGCTGATTCCGTTAGTGGTTATCACAGTTTTGGGGTGGGGGGTTCTTTTGATGTTGTTGTTACCAGTGTTAATATATTCTATGGAACCCCCCCCCCTTGAGAGTGTTTTGACACTCAAAGGTGGCCTATCAGTGTTGAAAATAAATAAAATAAAATCACAGCTTCACTGTGGCATCACACACCTATCTGTAAATTAGGTTACTTTTTTAAAAAAATCAAAGAAAATGCTCAACTCAAACAAAAATATTGATGATCCTTAAATGTCCATATTTTCATTTACAGTCTTTATACATGTTGCATTTTCTCCTCTAAGGCTAATAGCATTTGGGAGGGGCAGGGGATTTGACCCACAACGAAGGCACAGGGGGGAAAGTTGGGTCTTTGCCTCCTCGCCCCACTGCCATCAGCCATACTCCTCATGGCTGCCTTTGAAGAAGCATGTTACGTTAGAGATTCCTGTCAGGAAACTCCAGTGTTTAGCAGTGTTGGAGGTTGTATGCCTCTGAATATCTGTTGCTGAGAATCACAATCTATGCTTGCAGTCATGTCTTGCTTACAAGCTTCCCAATAGACATCTATGAGAACAAGATGCTCGAGTAGACAGACCTTTGGCTTCATCCAAGAGGGCTTTTTAATATTCTTACGCAGACTCTCCAAGTGTCCCTATTTTCCAGGGACAGACCCAGTTTTACAGAAGCCGTCCTGGTTTCTGATTTGATCCCAGAACACCCCACTTTCCCTTAAGGTAAAGGGACCCCGGACCAGTAGGTCCAGTCATGGCCGACTCTGGGGTTGTGGCGCTCATCTCGCTTTATTGGCCGAGGAAGCCAGTGTACAGCTTCCGGATCATGTGGCCAGCATGACTAAGCCGCTTCTGGTGAACCAGAGCAGCACACAGAAACACCGTTTACCTTCCCGCTGGAGTGGTACCTATTTATCTACTTGCACTATGATGTGCTTTCGAATTGCTAGGTGGGCAGGAGCTGGGACCGAGCAACGGGAGCTCACCCCATCGCCGGGATTCGAACCGCCGACCTTCCGCTCGGCAAGTCCTAGGCTCTGTGGTTTAGACCACAGCGCCACCCGCGTCCACTTTTCCTTAGGGCATCCCTATTTTCATTGGAGAACTGTTGCGGGGTATGTAACATGTAGTGTGGTCTCATCACAGTCAGACTGACTGAAGCCCTCATGCAGCCCCACGAGACAGCCAGTTGAAGGGCTCATCTAACTGTTCAAACACCAGCACACCTTTCACTTTGCTGTGGTCTCGAGTACTGTCCACCAAGATTTACCAATAGTAGAAAATAAAATAAAAATCAGTGGCATGGATTGTGGCAGGAGGTGCTGTACATAAATCAAATTCTTTTATTTTATAAGCGCTCTCCAGCCCTGTGCTGAAACAGTTAAACATATAGATGGTGATTATCTCTGTGCTCCTTATTGATCAGCCTAAGGCATTCATTCATTTCTGAGCCTGACTTGCCTCTGATAATGTCACATTTTCACTGATACCACAAAATGCTGAATTTCAATGCCTTGCAGCCTTGGCTTAGCAGAAGCCTTGCCTACGAAATTGCAAAGTGGAGTGCATTTTGGTGTTAAATGCATAAATCCTTAGAAAGAGGGGCTTATAAAGGGAGTTCTAATACAGCCCTAATTATATCAGTAAGAGTAGCATTGCGGAAAATTGCCCAATAATTGTAGAGCCTTTCAGTCCTGGGTACAGCGCTGAAGTACACCCAGCGCAGATTTTCTGTATACCTTCCAAAAGACCCCATCTCTGGGCACAGCAGTGGGTGTTTTAAATGACCAGTGTTTTGCTTTTCTATCCTGCAGTAAGACTTGGGGGAGCAATTTTTTATTCAGAATTCTGAGGATTCCCATTGCATCTGTCTGGAACTCAAGGACTACATTTTTTAGGCACGATATAATTTATGGAGTGCTTTCTAATAACTGTCCTTAAACCTAGCAATGCACAAAGACCGAATAATGACCTCAGGTCCATTTCCCAAAGATACAAATTTCTATGTGTGTATGTCCCAGAAAAGTGTTACATACAGAATGAGTAAAATAATGTGAGATGCTTTTATTGGATCAGACCTTCTGCAGGATGTAGAAGTTTGCCCAGCCTTTCAACGTTGTTAGAAGATGGACATTAAAGGATATCTGGTAGAAAAACATAGTTCCATCATAAGGATGTTTGACTGTTCAACGCAGAGATGACAGACAGATCGCTCCAAGTCTTGTTCCTGCCCATTTTCGCTTTGGACACAAAGAGATCCATTTCCTCATTAATAGTAGATTCCGCTGCCCCCTCTCAAATTAAAATCTGTATGGATATAATTAAAGGTAGATTCTCACAAATGGGCTTTCAAAGCCTTTTAAAAACATGATGCCCCCGCCCCCAGCATCAATAAACATGCATATTATCCCACTGCAGAATTTGAACTTTGTAGACCATACAAGGTATGTGATGTGGCTCTTTAAGTAGCTGATAAAAAATAATGACTGCAGCTTTACATACTTTTATATTGAAAAGCCTTTTTCTAGCTGTCTTTTGTTGTACTCTGCTGTTGCTTTGCAGATATATTCCAACCAAGGTATGACATTTCCATTGAATTCTTATAATAATAATTTCTTCTCTTTTCCATATAGAAAGTTACATTTGTTGCTCAACAATTATATTATATTCCAATTCCACAAAACTAGTGACTTCCTGCTCACCCGACAACGATGTTTATAACCCAAATTACATACAATTGCATCTTAAGGTTCCGTCTTATCTAATTTCATCCTCTCTAACACATTCCTTAATACATTCTGCTATTTTCTTACACTTCAAACCCCGCTGTGGTCTTCACATATGGGAAATAACTTTTTATATAGACTAGAAAGGGTTTCCAGCCATTTTTAAAAGATTCTCAATGTGTATCTTTTATCAGTGCCATCAATTTTACCATCTCTGCATATTCCAAGATATGACATCTTCATTGCGGAATGTCTTTTGACTGTATAAGATGACACAGAACAGGAATTTACCATATTGTTTGTTTCTTTGTTTGTTTGTTTGTTTGTTTGTTTTAGTCTGGGCAAGATACTAGATGTAGAAGATCCCTATTACCAAGAATTTTCATCCACTGATTTAATCTCAAATGCAAGTAATACCTGCACACGAGAAAAGACACCGCCAACAGAGCCCAGAACTGAAACATTAAGCGTTAGTGAAGGGTAAGTTACACCAAACAATTGTCAAACACTTTAAAATTCCACTGAATTAAATGGGACCTATCCTCAAGTCTTCCAGTGAAATCAGTAGTTTAGCTGCTTAGCTGCAACTGGATCATGCAGATTATCCAGAAGAAGGAACTACAGACAGCTTTATTTGCAAACGTGTATATTGTATTTTAGCTAAACTATTTCCATCCTGTTTTTCTGAGGTACACACAAGCTAGCTCATCACAATGTTATTCAAAGACACTTAGAGATATGGATTGTATACTGAGTTCCCATTAGCATCAGGAGGCTTCAGGCCAAGACTAAACTGTTCCCTTTATTTCAGTGAGGTCTAAGCTCCGCTTAACTGGTCACGAACCATACTTGATACAGCAAAAATCAATATAAAAAGGTAGACCTAGGCTGCAGTCCTTTGCACCTTTGTACATTCGGGTCTTGCATCCATGTAAACAGACTGCATGACTGAAAGCAGGGGTGTAAGAAAGCATTGTTTTCCTTTCTGTCCTAAATTCATAGCATGCAGCGCTATTTCTCTTCCATTGCAGTTCATCTTATGCCAAAAGCTAAATTATTCATCTTGCTCTCTGCTGTGGCAGAATTATATAACTTTTGTAATTCATTACATTATTCCACCCCAATCATTTCCATGCAAAGGAATCACAACGCAAAGTAATAAATTACGTATCGTTTGTGAACTGAAAGCAAAGCGAATACCAATTGCATTCACTGGATTGATTTCCATTCTGGCCATGGAACAAATAAGCAAACATTGGCCTTTTCCATTCCTGTTTTCATCAGAGTTCTCTGACATCCCTAATCAAAAGTCACAGTGGCACAAGCCACGAGCCATGTTCACAGCAGGAGCCAGGCCTTTCTAGTGCTCTCTTTCAGCCTGTCCAAAGGCCTTCATGAACCAAGAAGCCTTAGGCTCTTGAACTGGAGCTCAGAGGTGAAGAAAAATAAATGCATGTCTATAGGACAGTTGCTTGAAAAGGCCTCATTCACAGTGAAAGAGAGAGAGAAGGAAGGAAGGAAGGAAAGAAAGAAGAGGATCTGGAGTATGGTGCTCAGAGATTAGCTCAGTCATCACTGGGTATGGATACTGCTGAATGGTTCCCAGCTGTGGGCAACCCTCGAAAGCTGCATCCACCTTGATGCCCTCCCATACAAAGCAAGTCAAAAGTGAGAGGTTAGGGCATGGGTAGGCAAACTAAGGCCCGGGGGCTGGATCTGGCCCAATCACCTTCTAAATCCAGCCCACGGATGGTCCAGGAATCAGCATGTTTTTACAAAATACATGTTTTCCAAAATATAGTCCGGCCCCCCACAAGGTCTGAGGGACAGTGGACCAGCCCCTGCTGAAAAAGTTTGCTGGCCCCTGGGTTAGGGTGATGTCAGCAGTATCCAGGGTCCCTCTTCTATGTGAGGTTTTGTGGATGAATTGTGAGTTTGGGCCCTGGGTGAGAGCCAGAGTGGATGGGTTGAGTTCTGACTGAGTGCCAGAAGGCCGAGAAGGGAAGTGTATCAGAAAGAGAATGAATTGATACTGGTCTATATTTATTAGAAATGTGTGTGAATGTAACTGTGTTGTTGTTTTTTTGTAGCATTTCTTGTTGTTTAAGTTATCTTTTGTTGATTTACATTTCTGCACATTGCTTAGAGATATTTTTTATATATTAAGCAGTATAGAAATGGTCTAAATAAAACAAATAAGAAGAAATATATGGTGAGAGATGCTCTCTAATATCTTGGTTTCCTCCAAGAGCACCTGGATCTGGTCCATAAAGTCTTACATTTCTTATGGTTTAGCATAGTTGGGGCTAAGAAGACAGATAACACAGCTGCTGGATCATACCAAGAGGATCATTCCCTGCCAATTCAACATTTTCACTGTGCCCTGCTTTAGTTCCCAGCTTTTATGTGATGTCCCCCTCACTGCATACATTGTGCAGTTTCCACCTGCTGCAAAAGGGGGCTGGGAGGGAGAGGGAGAGTGAAACAGCTGCAGGGAGGAGAGGGTGAGGGTTTGGTTTGTTTTATTGCCAAAGGTCAAGGTTAAGTAGTTGATTAACAAAGTTTTCCAAAGTAAATGTGTTGATTTCTTTTTGCAAAAGCATTTCCGTTTCCCTTCTTCCTAGGCCAAGGGTCACAGAGACTCCAGTGGAAGAGAACAAAAGCAAGGATAATCCTTATGACTATCAAAAATTGTTACGGAAGACCTCTCAGCGCCGGCGCCTTATCCAGCAGTATTAGCTGCTGCTGCTGCTGCTGCTGCTGTTTGGTTTTCATCAGCATGAGCTTCTCCTCCTTTTTTTTTTGGTATGGTTTTATACTGTGTCCTTTTCTTTTTAATCTCTCCCCCCCACCCCGCAATTCTCTCTGGCATTTTAAATCAACTGTGTGCTTACGTTTGTGGACACACAAGATTGTAGCGCCTTACAGGGAAAGATGTCAGGGTTTGCAGAGTACTGTAATTTGTTAGGTGGGTTTTTTTTAAAAAAAGAAAATGTAAATGTATGAAATATTATTTTATTAGTATGCTGTAACTTATTAAAAGTCTAGATAACTGAAAAAGCAAATCATTGTTCTCTTCTCTTTTTCTCCCCTATCATTTTTCTACAGTGAAAACTCAAATGTGGGTCTTCCTTTAGGCTAGGTTTGTCTGCTGACCTTTGAAACTCTCAGGCACATTATATCTTGTTAAAATGGAGCTATTTCAATTCACGCAAACACATAAACAAAAAGCAAACCATAAACATCTGGTACAATTTAACAAGGAACCAACTTGGACCAGCTTTCGGCATACTGAGTGCCCTTTCGTACCCCCAAAAAACAGGAAATGCAAAGTGTGTTTGATAGCAAAATTCTGCCAGAAGGATTCCATGGGAAGAAGGCAAAACATCATTCAGTTTGTTAGGGGTTGTAAGTAGACAAGTGTTCCTGCTTTTTCTCACTTCTAATCCGTTTGGTATAAATCCAGATTCTCCTGAACACCATTAGTCTTTGTTGGGATTCACAATGGTTAGGGAAATATGAATTGGTTTATTTCCTGCCGGTTACTTTGGGCAGAAGAGAGAGAAACAGATTCTTCAATAATTTCACCTATTTTGAAACAAATGGAAATATTGAATGCTGCTAGCATTCCAGTTTCTGCACCAGTGATTTATAATTGACTGGTAGGTTCTCTGCACAGAGGGGAAGAGACAGTGACTCCCATTTTCAAACCAGGTTGTTTTCTCAAGCCCTTCTGTCACCCTTCAGGCATACAGTACACACAACCATTTTAAAAAGCAGCTCTTCACTTTCCATTCCATTGGTATGCTTGTGGGTGGGTGCTTTTTCTTTCTTTTACAGTGTACATTTGAAAGTTGCTGGAAGGAGGGGTGTTCAATTGCTGAAACTGAAAATCCCCTTTAAAATGTAGGTTCTGTTTTCATTAGCATACTTCTACAAAAAAGAGGGGAAGAAGCAAGACCAAAGGGGGCGACTGAGCCACAGTCAACCAGAGACAAACTCAGGAGATGATTTTTAGGAAGCTACGATCTCCCTTTGCTCCTGTTCCCTATCTGTCAACTGGGGAATATTAATGACCTAGATCAGCCTTGGCCAGTCTGGCCCCCTCCAGATGTTTTGGACTTTGACTCCTATCAGCCCCTGCCAGCATGTGATGGAGGATGCTAGGTTGGCAAAGGCAGGCCTACATTGCAGGACTGCTGTGGCAATGAGTGAAATGAGGGTTTTAAAGCACCTTGCGTACTGGGAGTCGGAATATGTTTTATTTGCAGTTTTTTTATGTTTGTATTGATGTCTTTTATTCCTGTATGACTAGTTCAGTCATGCCCATTAGTATTTTTTTAGAATTGCTAAATAAACACAAATATAAAAATGACCGTTTAAGTGGGAACCTCAGTCCAAGCAACGTTTGGTTTACTTCCAGTGAAAGATAAATCTATTGGGGGAGGAGAATGTACAAGATTCTCTTGCATTGAAGCCCATGTTCCTCTTTTACTTTTATGTGCTTGTCAACTGGAAGCTTGAATCAAACTCAAGCCAGACCTGCCCTTTCATGAACACGGGTCTTGTTTCCCCGTCCAGGCAGTTTTAAAAGGAAACCAATAGACTGCCTGCTTCATTGAACACAAGGCTTAAACTAGCTTCAGGATACAGGAAGGTGGAATGTGTGCTATTGATGCCCTGCAAATCCAGCATCGCCTGAGCTCTGCAAGTGTGGCTTTCTCCCGATTGAAGTGCAGAGTGTTTGAGGACATTTGCAGGGAAACCAAAATGCTTGTTTACAAAGCTATTGTACTACCAACCTTACTGTAGGCTTGTGAAACATGGACCACTTACAAACGCCATCTCCAACTTCTCAAAAGATTCCATCAGTGGTGTCTCTGAAAAATCTTACACATCACTTGGGAAGACAGACGAACTAATATCAGTGTACTGGATGAAGCAAAGATCACCAGTGTTGAAGCGATGATTCTTCAACATCAACTTTGTTGGACTGGTCATGTTGTGTGGATGCCTGATTATCGTATTCCAAAGCAACTACTCTATTCCGAAATTTAAAATGGAAAGCGTAATGCTGGTGGTCAATAAAAGAGGTTTAAAGACTGTCTCAAGGCTAATCTAAAAAAAATGTAGTATAAACCCCGACAACTGGGAAACACTGGCCTGCGAGTGCTCCAGTTGGAGAACAGCCTTTACCAAAGGTGTCATGGACTTTGAAGACACTCAAACTCAGGACGCAAGGGAGAAACGTGCTAAGAGGAAGGCACACTTGGCAAATCCACACCGTGATCAGTTCCTGCCCAGGAACCATTGTCCCCACTGTGGAAGGACTTGTGGGTCCAGAATTGGCCTCCACAGTCACTTACAGGCTCATTGTTAAAACCATGTTTATGGAAGACAATCTTACTCGGCTACGAGTGATCACCAAAGAAAGAAGAAGAAGAAGAATTCAGCGAACAAAGGAAGAGAGGCTGCTGGCAGCTTTGATATCTGCCTTCCCCAAGAGGTGTCTCCATGGGGGGGGGGCTTGTTCCCTAACTTCAAATATTCAGATAACTCAACCAACAGCATGTTAGCATCCACACTGTCTGGAGTCTGCACCCTTGTTTCGTATGTATTCTTAACTTTTTGCAGCTCCTGAAATTATCTATTGTATTGCACAGCCAATCTCCATGAACCTGGCATGGTTCATAAATGGAAGGACCCTCTGCTTTGAGGCTGCTGGTTAGTCTTACAGTTAAAGTGGAGAACTGAGCAATAGCTTCAAGAGGCCCTTGATTTTGATATTCACAAGTTTTACAGAACATTACAGGGCATTGTCAAACAAATCCCCCTGATTCCACAGTGACTCCTATTTCCAGCTCAAAACAAGAGCCCAAAATAAATGTATACGTTTTGGAAACTGAAACCCTGGAACAGGGACCTGGTGTGTTTGCCATGTGTACTTCGCTGGCTTGCAGTCACCCCAGAGATTGTCCTTAATGCCTCCAGCATAGCTTGCTGGAGAGACTAATACATTTGTCTCTGCAGTTCATTAACTCACAAATGTGTTCTTCAGTCAGCCAGCTGAGGTCCCTCTTCATACCACCTGTTTAGTGACATGCTGAGCCAAAAGCTACTTTGGGAGAATAAGGGCAGGCAGGAGGCAAGAAAGAAAGGTTCTCCATTTCTCTCTCTCTCATTCTGTCTCTTACAAAGAGGCCTCAGCAGTGCTAGACTATATGGAGAACACACTTGACTATATCTGTTGTGGTCCTACTGCTGATTTCACAGTGCCCATACAAATGCACAGTCCTGACCCCACACTGTCTGGGGCCTTGTGCCATAAGGCTCCCAACTTCCACTGCCAGCCAAATTCATCAGCTCTCTCTGAATTCTGTGATCCAGCAACCCACCAGTGGGGCATCTTTCAGTGGAAGCCATTATCTGGTTTGGGATGCTCCAGAAGCAAAGCCCAATGGAGCTAAGATGTATTGTGCCTTTTGTTTCTCTTTTCACATACTTCCACATTTTTCTAGAGCGGGGCGGCCTAACAGATGTCATTGGGTTACAGCTCCCATCATCCATGGCCATTGGTGGCAGGGCTGATGGGCGCTGTATTCCAGCAACATCTGCAGGGCCACAGGTTAGCCATTCCTGCTCTGAAATGTTCATAGTACCACATTTTCCTCCCATTATTTGGGGTGTATTCAGTTCCAGCTTATCTGTAAAGCTTACAGGGGTGCCAGAACCAGAACCTTACATGGAATTCAAGAAAATGAATATAATTCATGGGAAGCCTTAGTAGTTCTTCTGTTCAGTGCACTTCTGCCCATCTGCCAGACAAGATGTTGGGGCTGAAGGAGCTCAGGAGCAGTCACCATGGTAAGAGGGGACAGAGAGAGAAAGGGAAGGTGAACCAGGGGTCTAGCCATGGTTTAGGAGATTGGGACCTAAGAGCTAGTCTTACATGGTACAACCAGCCATATGGGTGTTGTTTTGAACCAGGGTTGGGGAACCTTTTTCAGCCTGAGGGCACATTCCTTAAACCTGCAGCTTCCTGGGGACCCAGCAGCAAAGAGTAGCAGGGGCTAGAGGCAGAAGTGGAGGGCATAAAAGATGCGACTCTCATATCTGTACAGTAGGCTGCATTCCAGCCTTGCAAAAGTCAGAGGTTGATGCACACCCAGGCATTATCACAGATCAAGGATGTGTTCCAGCCAGGCTTGAACCATCCAACTTTTTGCTTCCACTGCAAGCTGCCTTTGTACTCTTCTCAGTTTCTCTCTAGCTGGGCGGAGCTGTGGTGGGATGGTGTTAAACATTTCAGGAACCAGAAATGTTCAGAGAGTTGCTTTACTCATTGTTCCCAAAGGTCTGTGGCAGGAGAGTCACAGCCCAAAGGCTGCTCAAATATGACTGCTACTTACACCTCCCCTAGCTTCTTCCTAGCTGTTGCTGCTTTGTGGATTGTTCTGGTGGGTTGCTGAGTATTTGCAGGCACAGACTAGTGGTGACACTCAGAAGGTTATGGTTCACCACGGAATCTTTAATAACTGGGGCATATGTGATGTGTGAGTGAGTTTGTTTCCTGGCACCTCCTTTTGTTGGGAGACGGCTCTGCCACAGTCTCCATCCCCTTCACGATGACGCAGAAGACTTGAAGAATCCATTTCCAGAGGAGCAGCAGGTTGCAGCAAAAACAACAGAGTCTTGTGCACACCTTAAAGACTGACAAATCCATTACAGCATCAGCTTTTGCGATTCAAGCCCACTTCATCAGATGCCAGTCCGTTGTGGCATCTACACTGCTGCTGCGGCAGGCAGGGTGGAATCCAATGTGTTTTCCCCAATAGGCAAGGTCACTTCCAGACAGAGCCGCCTGAAATCCGAGCGCGATCAGAGGATCCCTCTCACTTTTCCAGGCTGATCCTGAAGCAGCATCCCAGCACCGATCTCGAATGTCTTCCCTCCCGAATGTCTGAATTCCCTGTCTGAGCGCACGAGCCGGAGTCCTCGGCCACCACGTCTCCCACACCTCTGCGCTGTCCCTGCGAGGCAGTTCTTTCCGCGAGGGGTCAGCGCGTTTGTCGCCAGAGCCCGAGTCGGCCAGCGCTGCCCTTTCCGCGCCGCCTGGAAGGGAGTCGTGATCAGACGCACAGGCAGCGCGTCCCTTCGCCATCCGCGCCACAAGTCCCGGGGCTAAAGAGGCGATCATCTGGCGGAGCGCAAATAAATACACCCCGCCGCCTGCCCGCCTCCTCTGTCCGCTTGGCTGTGAAAGCGAAGTGCGAGCGGATCAGCACCATGGAGAGCGCCTAGCGCAGCCGCTCGCTCGTCTCCCGCCCACCCAGCCAGCCAGCCAGCGCCGGTGTCTGTCTGGAGCGCACAGCCAGAGCGCCACGCTCAGCTGCTTCTCCCGGCGCCGTCGTCGCCGCCATCGCCACCCGCCTTGCCCGGCCCTCTCGCCCAGCCACAACCCCGCCACACGCTCATTCACACACACACACACACGCACGCTCCCTCCCCCTCCCCCGCCCTCCCCGCGTCTCTCTGTCTTTCGCACACACAGCCCAGGCGCGCTCGCTGCACTTCACCGGCTCCTCGCAAGCACCGCAGATGGCAACTCCCGGCGCGGGTTTTTGGTCCTTCGGGTCTGAAGATGGATCCGGAGACCCTGAGAACCCCGGTCCAGGTAGGAGCCCCCACTCACTCACTCAGTCACCCCCCCCCCGGAAGACCACGACGCATCTTTCAGCGCCAGCCTCCTGCGCAAAGTTGCCAGCCCAGATCCTGGAAGGCTTGGCTTGACCCTGACTTTTTTCCCCATCCCCCACCGCTGCCACCGTCGTCTGGTTTGATAATCGTTCGTGCCTTTGGCCGCCTTGAGAAGATCGAGGGGGCCGCCCGTCCCTGACTGGAGAAGGCGCCCCTCTAAGATGGGATTCATTTGGAGGGGCCAAAATACCAGCATGGCAGGACCTAAAGAAGACGCAGCGGGCCGCCTCACCTGCGCGCAGCGAGGGACCCGGAGCGCCCCTGGCCGGCTCGGAGAAAAGCAGCTCAGTGGAATATCTCTCAGGATGCTGCTACCCGGCTGGGACTCACCCAAACACAACTGGCCCTAAATAAAGGGAAGGAGCGGGGTGGGCAGAAGGGTGGACACAGGTTGCGTCGCTGAGAGGGGACGGGAGCGCTTTTCGCTTAGAAAGTGTCCTGGATTGCTGAAGGATCCATATGCTTGCATCGCCAAGACTGCTTACGCGCATTTGTCCGCTTGCTTCATTCTAACGCGCCTCTTCCCATATGGAGGGCTTGGGGGCAGCTAGCAATACGTGCGCAGCTCAATCCTAAGCATCTTCTTACTCAGAAGGAAGGACCCTTTGATTTCATTGGGGCTTTCTCCCGTCTAAGTATGCGCAGAATTGCAGCCCTTACATTACCCATAACATTACCCATATACCATGCGCTAAATCCTAAGCAAACCCCGGCGAGGGGGAAGCATCATGTCTGGTCTGCAGTGACCCTGTTATGTGTGCTTGCGTGGGGGGCCATCTTCCTCATCGAACCCACACGAAACGACCCGTCTGATCCTATATTCTTGTTTCTCCCCCCTCAGCAAAAGCTTGGTGTCAAGCTGCCCAGAAGTTTACAGGAGGCATTTCAACCAAACTCTGTGGTAAGCGATGAGAAGGAAATGGGGGAAGCAAATCGCAGGAAGAAGCTTTAATAAAATAGGGCGGGGGTGGAGACGTTTTACATAGGAAACAAAACAAAACAAAACAAAACAAAAAAATACTCCCCCTCTCCCACCCCCCAGCGCGCGCACCCTCCCTTTTCCAAAGGATCCGAGGAGGACTTCCCAGAGTAAGTTGAAGACTCGCTGATGGGTCTATGGAGCTGCCTTGAACGAACCGTGCTGGGTCCCCCCACTCGGTGCTTTTGAGCCTCCGCTGTGCCATTTAGGCTTCGCCCTTTGTGTCTTTGTTAGCTTTGCTGTACGGAGATGGGGAGAAGCCCATGGAAACGGGGGCTGCGAAGGAGGACCCGATCTCGGCCGCCAGGAAGGCCCCTTGCACCTGCAATAAAAAGCCCTGCGGTTGCCAGAAAGAGGATGTCAATTATGCGTTTTTACACGCGTCAGGTAACCATCTCCTAACTGGGGTGGGGGTGTCAGAATGGGGTCAGCCGGACTGGATGCTTTGGAAGACACTCATCAGCTGGTATATGTTCCAAAGGAGGAAGCCTTTGGGTGGAAAGCATTATAATCCTGGTTCATTAAATCCAATGGGAACTTTGCCATTGACAGAGGCTTGGTAAACATCTCTGTGCGACCACCCTGGCTTCCTCTTGCCAAGAGGATTTCGATTAGGCAGAGGCTGAGCAATGCATAAATACGTGTGTGTGTATACCAGGACACACTTGATTGTCGTTAGCATTCTAGGTTCTAAAGGCAAGAAATGTCGTTATCCCACTTTAAAGCGTGTGTTCGGTGGTGATGTGTGAATGGGTGTGCGGCGAGAGGGAAATCCAGCAGTTGGAATCAGGTTGTTAATTCTGGAAACTCTTGCCAAAAAGCTTATTGACAGGATATGAATCTTTCTGCTTCATCAAATCCCTCCGAAACCTTCTATGCCGAGTGGCAATGTATTAAACCGATAAATGGCCTTCCTCGGAATCACAGGCGCTGGTTCGACATTCTCAATTAGTCAGCGCCTGAAAATATTGGAGACTGATACCATAGATTCTTTTCCTAACTAGCTTATGGTGGTTTCAGCACCACTTGGAGGGACAGCGACTAAGAACAATTTAAGCCTTAACTGCGGGGTGAGGCATATTGGTAATTGACGACATAAATGTCAGAATTAAGGAGAAATTAGTGGTGGGAACTCATTACAAAACATGGCATGCACGAAGTACAAAGATGTTTACTATTCTGAAAGCGAGGCAATTGCACCTTGATTTTTTAATTTTTCTTTTTCATTTAATCTGCTTTTTGATAGATGATGGTAGATGACTCTTATTTTTATTTTATTTTTTGTTAAAAATAAAAAGCTCAAATATCCAGTATAAGTAGAAACATGAGTAGGAGCAATGAGATCTTTAACGGACCCATTTTCAAGTAATAAATCAACTTCTAACTACAGGATTTTGTTTACTAACAGAGACATAAAAGTACAGTATTTATATTACCAGGAAATGAACATTTGTAAAATAAAGCTTCAGTGGCTTTTGTAGTCGTCTGTACCTCTGAATAATATTTAATATAAAAGAGACCAATTTCGATGGTTCACCGTAAGTAGAAAAAGTGTCCAAAACCTAACTATGAAATCAATGTCGTATTTCACCGCTTTCCATCCTTTCAGATCTTCTGCCAGCCTCGGACGGAGAATTAGCTACTTTGTCTTTCCTACAAGATGTTATGGACATTTTGCTCCAGTACCTGGTGACAAATTTCGACAGATCAACCAAAGTTATTGATTTCCATTACCCAAACGAGCTACTTCAGGAATATAATTGGGATTTGGCAGATCAACCCCAGACTTTGGAAGAAATTCTGTCGAACTGCAGGATCGCGCTAAAATATGCCATTAAAACAGGTAACAGCTACCTTCGGGTGTTATAATGTAAAATGATTCTAAGTTAAAGTCACAGGCGCCCCCCGCCCTCCCTCCGTCTCTTTGTGCTTTTGGAATCGGGAGAGAAACCCGGCCGGTTTTTAGTACAGTATTTATTGTCTTGCGCTGAGGAGCAATGTCTGACGTTTGGAACAAACAAGCAGTAATTCCTGCGCTGAAAGAAGGTAGAGAGGGGAGCTCTGTCTATTCGGTGCAGATCACTCATAGCTTCTTGGCTGAAAAGATACTGCTAGCTGTTTTTGTTTTATGAGATCATGTAGCGATGGCTTGTGGTGGTGACAACAGGTTCTTGAATTAAAGACACACATTTTTGGCGTGGTGTAAATTACAGATTTCCTTATGACTAAGAGTAAAATTGTACAGTCGCTTCTTTTAGACGTCCTCTCCTATTTTTTTTATTTTAATGGAAATTGAGCCAGCAAGGGGAAAATAGTTTCTTCTTTTTATTATTATATCATCACTAAACATACCAGGTCCATAAATGAGGTCCCGATCCTTCTTTCTTTCACGTTTAAAATCCTAGCAGGGACTTCCAGAGCGCAAATCTGGAGGCAAACCGGATTTACTCCACTACGGCCCTACCTGCTTACCTTGGAGTAAGCTACATTGAAAATAGAGAGGCTTACTTCTGAGTAGACATGTATAGTGTTGCGGTGTTGTGCCACTTAACAGAAGGAGCTCCTCTAAAAGAAGGGTTCAGTCAGACTTCCTGAAGAAAGGAATTCGCCCAGAAGGGCATGGGAGCAATCTGGGCTGTTTGGGCAGAACCAACAGGGCAAGAAGCAGCGGGTAAATTGAGCCCTGGCGCCTGGAGCAAAGTCCTGACCCCTGATGGCAAGTCTGGGCACCCCGAGCTGCACTGAACTGATTCATTCTCCTAAATGGACGGCGGCCCAATAAACAAGGTGAATTAAATGCCAAATGGCCTTTTAAGCTCCACTTTGTCGCCCGGTTCAAAAAGAGGTTGGAACCTGATTGCTGGAAATATGAGCTAATAATCCATAGTGTGTCGAGGAGATTTCTCTCTCCCCCGCCCTTCTCTCTCTCTCACACACACATACACACGCGTAAGAGGGTGGTCAGCCATGGAGATACAAGCTTTGGGCTGCAATTCTACCCACGCTTACCTGGCTGGGACTGAGCCCACCTTGGAACCTGGTAGGACATTTCTGAATAAACAGGACCCAGATGATTCTCTCGCCGTTGATTCCCCCCGCCCCCCACCCTCAGAAGTAAATCCTATTGTATTCAACGGGCCTTACTTCCAATTAAGTGTCCATAGGGTTGCAGCCTTTGACTACCCTACAGAATCAACAAACACAGAGTGTGAGGTTTGTATTGATTTTGCTTCGGGTTTCTTTTCTTTTCTCTTATGGCATATTTCTGATGGGCTGGTTTCATGTGTGATTTTCATTGTGAGTGATGGTTTTTGCCTTCGATTCTTTTCCTCCCTCCCTCCCTTTTAGGGCTTGATCGTGTTTAATAATAATAATAATAATAATAATAATAATAATAATAATAATACTCCCTGTCAAGAAAACTCAGACCCAGACGTCACGATTGGTTGCATTAGCGTTTGACGTGCTGATTTACGACCTTGCCATCTATCAGCGGAGACGAGATTATTTCATGCCTTAAAGTGCCTCGTTTTGGATGCAATCCATAACACCAGTTAAAGGCGGCGCCTTAAAACGTGCCATTGGTTTCAGGGTGGTGTGGGTTGGGCTTTGACAGTCGGATCCCAAACATAGTCTCTTGGAAGTAAGGCCCGTTTGTTTCAGTGGGATTCATCCTCAAGCGTGTATTTGACCGAAGCCTTAACTTACCGGTAATAACAAATCAAGAAACGTAACGGAGGAAGGGACGGCTAAGACCACAATCTTATACCTGGGAATAAACCCTACTGAACTCAATGCTTGTTTCCGAATAAACAAATCTAGAACCTTGGGAGTAAGCCTCTTTGAAACCAGTGGGGCTTATTTCTGAGAAGACACGCGTTGAGCGTTATGTCTGCATGCGTGTATTTATAGGCATCGCTGTAAACATATTGGAAATTAAAGGGTTAGGCGATACAGACGTGGGGGTGGGTTTTCTAGTGTCGGCCACACACGTGCACACATACACAGATTTACGTATAAGGCGTGGGTATAGAGAGGGAGAAAGCGTAAATAGTGCGCGCGTGTAGTCAAAACGCCGCGCAATCCAAGAGGCACGATGCGACAGGGCGCGGCTTTTACGGAGTCGGGCTCTCGCGACCCCCCCCCCCAAAGGAAAGTGACATTAAAGGCGATGGGACGTTGGCGAAAGCAGTGAAAGCAGCGAAGCCGGCTGAGTCTCGCCTGCCCATTCTGACCGATGTTCCCAAAGAAACGCGAGCAGATAATCGGAGCACGTCCAGAACATCATTTAACTGCCAGGTGGATGTACCGGGAGCTGAGCTCTCCCCCCGCCCGCCGGGTGTGGAGGATGTAACGGGAGAAGCGCCTCACAACGTCTTGGGGATGACAACCTCCCAATCAAAATGATTTGTTAGCCATTATCGACCATTTCTATCGCGCGCTCCTTATTATATTATTTCGATTCCTTCAACGGGTGTAAATTCTTCCAAACGAGGTTCCTACCAGAGCGCCCGCCCTTTCCCGGGATACCTAGAAAGAAGCGTGGCCGATTAAAAACCAGCAATTAGGAGTGTTATGTTGTCAAGTGACTGAAAAACCGAGCCGCGTATAAATTAAATGTAGGACGCGCGCACTACATATATAGGTGTTATTACCTGACTCCAATTTAATCATTTTAATACAGTGTCTATTCCATCTCCCTCTCATAGATATAGATATAGATATAGATATAGATATAGATATAGATATAGATATAGATATAGATATAGATATAGATATAGATATAGATATAGATATAGATATAGATATAGATATAGATATAGATATAGATATAGATATATTTTCCTTAGGAGCAGTTTTGGAAAAAATGATTTAAATATTTTAAATTTGATTTTAGTAGTCCTTCTTGCTTGTAAAATTGGTGTCCCCTTCCTAATTGTTTTGTTGAAAAGAAAGTGCACCTGTGAGTTTGTGTTTATTAGGAAGGAACCATCTATCGGTTCATTCAGTGCCCAAAGCCGTCAACTTTATGGCCCTGAGGCTGAGCCATGTTTGTTTCGACCCGATTCGTTTATTGACTTCGGCTGAAATCCTAAACACAGTCCCTAAGGAGTCCTTTCCATTGAACTCAGGAGCACTTAGTTCTGCGTAAACATGGATAAGATCCAGCTATTAAAAATACAGGGGAAAACGTCAACAAGATTTGCGGCAATCAAATAGCAAATTCTGTTTTGCGTATGACATTTCTGTCCACAAATCGGCCAAACCACCAGCAAACAACCCTGAACATTCTTTTGTAAGCGTCTTCTTTGAAAGAAAGGAGAGTCACTTCGGAATAAGTAAAGGATCCGACGGCTGTGAGGCTATAGAGCCGAATTTCTTGGAAGGAAGCGCGGTTGAAATCTGTTCGAAACGTCTTCCCAGTGACTCCGAAATATTCTGTGTTTTGCGCAAGCAGGAAGAGGTCAAGTGTGTCTACGAAAGCGCAGCTCTCGTTTGTAGTCAGTCGCTCTGGGATCGCTCGGGCGATTGAGGATTGCTTCGATTGAGAGGGTGGGGCTGGGGTTGGTGGTCTTTTGTTCTCTCCCCATCTGGGTCTCTCTAATCCCACAGCTGCCAACCTGGCTACTTCGGTTTAAGCGTTTTGTGGATCGCAATCACGGTTGCGCGTATTAACATCGGAGCCTAAAGAAAGATGTGTTAATTAGGAGTGGCGGGGGGGGGAGAGACTTTTGCCACTGGGTATTGAATCTGATGCGCACAACTGGATCTGTCGGGTGTCTCGTGTACTTTAAAGCGAGTAGGTGCTGAAGGGTCACGATCCGCGATTGGCGCCTCTCCAAACGCTCCGAAATGAGAGCAGTTACCCGAGCGGCGATGGTCACATCCCATTTGCGCGTTTCCCTTTCTCAACGCGTTTCCTAACGATCGCCTGTCCCGGAGGGGATCTTATTCATTAGAACGCCTGGAGCAAGATGGAGCGGGCGGGCAGCCACTACCTGCTTGCTTCGCTCTGCGCCTCCAGGGAGCCTTTTCAGAAGGAACCTGTTATACTGAGGATCGCGGTGCGCGGATATGGCAGGCGGACCCGCTCGCGCGTGTTTTGGGGGAGGAGGGAGCTGGCAAGGAAGAGAAATGAGCCAAGTAGGACACGCGCAACCAGGGCTGGGAAAGGCAGCGAGACGCTTTCTTGCAGGACTCTTCGCATTTCTTGCTGCCAGCCAGGCAACTTGTGGTGAGTCACCGAGCGACACTGCACGTGGGAATGAAGGACTCCATCCTAGGAGGAGGATGGGCAGGTGCGTTAGCAGAAGTACAAGGAGTCGGTTATATCGAGGAAGGACTGTGATCATAAGTGTAAGTGTACACACAACATCTTACAAAGCAGAGACATCACCTTGCCAACAAAGGTCCGTATAGTTAAAGCCATGGTTTTCCCAGTACTGTAGTAATGTATGGAAGTGAGAGCTGGACCATAAAGAAGACTGATCGCCAAAGAATTGATGCTTTTGAATTATGGTGCTGGAGAAGACTCTTGAGAGTCCCATGGACTGCAAGAAGATAAAACCATTCTGAAGGAAATCAGCCCTGAGTGCTCACTGGAAGGACAGATCCTGAAGCTGAGGCTCCAATACTTTGGCCACCTCATGAGAAGAGAAGGCTCCCTGGAAAAGACCCTGATGTTGGGAAAGATGGAGAAGGGGACGACAGAGGACGAGATGGTTGGACAGTGTTCTTGAAGCTACCAGCATGAGTTTGACCAAACTGCGGGAGGCAGTGGAAGACAGGAGTGCCTGGTGTGCTCTGGTCCATGGGGTCACGAAGAGTCGGACAAGACTAAAC